TTTTGAGTATTTCTTTTTTCTTGAACATTGCTAATGTCTTTGACTAATTGGAAGTTGTAATGACAATTTACTTCACAATTCTCATACTATTAGATGACTACATACTCTAAAACATATCCAAGATCCAAGATACTTCATCATGAATGTGGTCATTTACATTGTTTACTGTAATTCATCATCACTCATGTTGATAATACTCATTGTTTACCATAATCATGTACTTAACATTAGATATTTTTTTTAATGTCAACATAGTGGACAAATGGATTAACTACTTTTTTATTTCACTTTGTTATTGTGGCATAATCATATCTTTTGATTGTAGAATGAACAATGAGTCAATGCATAAAGATTACACAAGAATAATATTTAACGTGATGATACATCAAAATCGCAACAATGCACAAACATGTCCTTTTTACATGAACAAACAAACAATAATGATTATTGATCATCAAGCAGATCACGTTCTTGAAATGCATCCATCAATTTGTATCTTTTAAACATTTTCTAGCCATTATGACAATTAGATTAAATTGGTGTTGAAGCAAGACAATGTAAACATGTGCCATTTTTGTAATATTATACATCTTATAGATCAATATGATGAGGCAGAATACATAAAAAAATATTGTATTAGTAATTTTCTTGTCAAGAAACATCATAATATCATCAACATATTTATAAATTTTTTTTATTATCAATTGGGACACTTAAAAACTAATGTCTTTAGAGTTGTTACGTTCAATTCAAGATTTTAATGATAACATTTTTTGTATGAATTGTAGTATGATGATCAAAATGTGAAATCATTAGAAGATGCAAATTATTCAGATTAATTTTGAGACAAATTTTAAAATCGTATGTTGAGGAACATTGTGCCATGATGATCATTTTCATCAAATGCTAACACAAAGGTTTAGAATTTTGACTATGTACAAGAATGTCAACAATAATTTGAAGGTTTATACAAACAAGTAGAAAAATATATTGACAGACTATGTCATTATTCAATTTTGCGTTTTTGTTTTATTTGATAATATTTGATCACAACTATTGTTTGTAACACTAAATAAAATAATTAAAAAATATGTCTTTTAAAATACATTGATTGAATACTTTGAAGTATAGTTTTAAAAAAATAGCCATCAATTTTCGAAATCATTAATTCATTTTTTCCACATGTTTGTCATGACATATTATCTTGATGAAAAGTTAATAATATTTGATTAGACATTACATGTGAAGCTTGTTTGCAATAAGAATTACATCTGAATTGTGGTTTTGAATGTGTTTTTCAAAAATTTTCAAACATCTTTCGTATCATCTTCATGTTTTATAAAGTTATTATTGTGGTTGATCATGGATAAAACATCCTTGCTGAAGATGATATTTTATACGAGTTTGACTTCTTACGATGCATTGATAATAAATTCACAAATTTTCTCATTTACTTACTCAACAAGATTACAAAATCTATAATTGATCATAAATTCATAAATTGTTTCATTTATTTAGTCAACAAAAGTAAGAAGAATGAAAGTTTTTAACAATAAATTGATAAGTTTTACATGCCAATTCAATAAGCTCTCATTGATGCTTGAAAGAGTATGTACTCATAACTAACTAACTAACTAACTAACTATATATATATATATATATATATAAGTCAAATCTTCAATCAAAATTATACAACACGCTGAAAAAAAAATGAAACTTGATGTGATTTGCTAGTCCATAGTTTGTTTATTCTTTCTGAATTTCTAAATGAGGTGATTGTTATAGTAAATGAGAAGTATGCATTGCAAAAAGTAACCTCAATCTAAGAGATCAGTTTGACAATTAATTGACAACGGAAATTGGAAAAAATGAATTGACTTGTTCACACTATTTTGGATTGTACTTTAGTGATTTTAAGTATTGAAATGTCTAATATCCTATTTTCAATGATATGAATAATGAAATGGTATCGTAATAACTAACAAAGATTTCACTTTGATCATAGCTTTTTATTGGCTCTTGACATCACTTGTGCAACAAATGTAAAGATCAAGGTGCTTCATTTTATAGCAATGTTTTTAAATTTTGTTTTATAAATAACATTATGCGCAACATAGAAATTTCCATCATTTTAGTTACTAAGTCAAAAGTAAAGCTAAGGTTCCTCATGCTTTCAATCGACAAAAAGTAGGTTTGGCAAATTTGAATCACAAGAAAGATGAAGCATCGCCTCAACACGAAAGAATTGCATATTCATGATGCCAACTTTGGTATAATGAAGTTTAGTAAAGATCATACAAAAGTGATGTCAATGGGGCTGAAATCCTATTTGTTAGCATTTTCAACATTCATTGAGATTATAATTTATATGTATAAAACATACAAGAGTTTTAATTACAAAATATAATATTATTGAGCTCAATATTGCGCATGAATAGAGACATTCATGCCAAATTTAGTATTCTTTTGTGGTGTAAATTGAAAGAAGTTACCACATTCAGAATAAGATTGCGCGAAATGCTTTCTGATTTTGTGCATACCTTAGATCTCATTAAAAGTGGCATTTTAGTAAAAAATGCCACCTTTGCCACGATAAAGCTTTTTCTTTTAGTAACTCTTTAATTGTAATTGAACTTTACGGCGTAATTTTCAAGAGTTCGCAAGCATTGCCTAAAGTTTACGAACTGCTTGAATGTTATTATCCTAAGCAAGCAAGAGACCGCATTGCAGTGAGTAAGTGATTGGAAAGAGAATCCTTGTATTTTTGTTTTGAGCAGGTTGTGGACAGAAATCAAAATATTGCATGATCATCTGATATATGTAATTTTAGAAAGAAAAGATACACCTTGAAAGTTTTCTAAAACTCTGATGTAAAACTATTCTGGTCCTGAAATCAAGTTACTCTTCATTCCTAGGATCGAAGAGATGTGATATTATTGATCTTCAACTAAGGTTTTTAGGAGGAATACATTTCATGTCTTGTGGATTTTGGAATTTGGCACTATTCAGTTGAAGTTTTATATACTCATGGTTAGTATCAAAAACCTTGTTCTCATTTCTTCTCAAAGGACTAGCTCTTTGTGCTTTGAGTATCCTCACGGTGAATAATCATGTGACCTGTTCATCGACTCTAAATTCTTGTTGGCTTTTCTAAATTGGATGGCTATAGTTGCACCTTGGACATAACATGAGAGCGGAACCATAAGGTAAGGTAGCCACAAACTAGAAACAACCCTGCCTGCATTTCTCGTGAAATGATCTCAATATTTTATGGTTTCAAGATTGACACATAAGTTTTTCACTTCAAATGATACTTTTAAGAAATTTTGGATGCCACAATTAACGAAAAGGTGGCAAATGCCACTTTTAATGAGGTCTGGCATAACTGCATCCAGCTCCAAATTTTTAGTAGGCAGTGAATACGGTAACGAATAAGATTTCGGGCTGAACTACGGGATAGTGGACAGCTTTTTATTTGGTGTAGATTGGTAATGCACATTACACAATTTTTGAATACATGTGATTTGAATAGTATGGGTGGGCATAGATGTACGCTGCTGGGTATAGATACAAATTGAAAGTAAAATTTACGCCTCTTATAGAGATATAGAAAGTTAGTAAGGAAAATATTCTAACATGTTATGGTTTGATTTTATTTTTAGACGTTGTGCAGAAAATTATGAAGCTTCCAACAGGAAAGGCAGACAGATGAAGAAGCTCTTTAGCAAAAAGGTCTCATTCTCGTGACATGTGAGTCCAGGAATACCAGAACGGTGTTACATCATAACCCGCAATGTTAGTACTTGACAGAGGACTGCAACCTTATGAGTGTTCACATGATGAGAAATGACAAAGTCTAAATGAAAGTGTAATCAAAGTACCCTACGAATTAGACGTAGAATACAACTATGGAGCCATACATCGATGACACTTGAGAGCACAACCAACACGAGGCAGTGGACGGTCCGTGCTCAGTGACGGTCAAGTCTGTGCAACGTGAGAAATGATAACCAACATCCGGGTCTAATCATTTGCTCATCACAAATTGGAAAAATCGACATGAACGCAACCAGTTGATACCCGGCCATCTGACAGCGAGATTAGAAGGCACACTATGCTTTTGAAATCAAGTCCATGTCTTGTATGCCACACAATCGCACTATCCAGGAAACACACGTAGATTCTAGCTGATTTTTAGCCCAGGAAGAAATCCAGGAGAAATTATAGCTAAACTTCTACTTTCAATAATACAAAAGGAAATCCTACGCTGTCATTACATCCTGTCGTACAGCCGATGTTTAATGCTTGCACTAGACTCGTAGAAAGTTTCATTGGAACGGCAACAGACATGCACTACGTCCACCGCGGTTTGACGGGAAGGTGCAAACCATGGCTAAGTTTACCACGCAATGCTATAACGTGGAGGTGGCTGGGTTAGGTGATCGCGGTATTATCAGAGCGACGTAGAAGGGGGAAAGCGTACGCTAATTTGTATTCTTGTGGACACGAAGAAGAGGTGCCGCAATAACCGGCGATTGGCGATGCACGTTAATAATGGCAACCAGGCCTTGACGGTGGTCGTAATTCGGTACGTCACGTCCTGGAGACGTCGAGGGGAGTGATGGCTTTGACTTCAGCTGCACAATGGATTTAGAAAATGTCATAGCGAAGGAATCCAATGAACGGGACGAAGACACATCCATGTTCAATGACTTTCTATTATATTACAATAAGCCTTCCAGTGCTCAAACATGAACTAATAATACAAGCATTCACAGTCCACGTGGTTCTGCTAATCAGGTGGGAGCTTCTAACGTAGTCTGGGAAACGGTTGATTTGAGATCACTCGGATGAGCTAAGATTTCGTCAGCTGCAGTTTCCAGTTTGTAACTGGAAACCAACTACGATAAGGAGTTTGGTCAGATGTGGGACGAGGAGATGGAGTTGCAGCATGCGAAAGTCGGTCAATGCTTCAGTCCCGGTAGGTAAAGTCGTCCGCAGTCCCCAGAGAACTGCGGTGTGCGGAAAAGGAACAACTTGGCGCGTTGCGGGAGGAGGCGAGTGATTTTGTTTGGAGCTGCTGCTGATCCTCCTCGTCCTCGTCCTGTGAGTAATCGCCCATGTTCTCCCACCGTGGGAGCTACAGCTGTGGGGCCCCTCGCTGAGCATGTTGCAAGGAGCCACTACGATCGCTCTTCGCTATTGTAGTGCATAGCTCGTGCCGGTGCTCGTAGTTTGATTCTCCTCTCTCGTCCTGGGAACGGTGGAGTCTCGAGCATTCATCTTCTCACTGCGCAGCAAGATGTGCTACTGGACTCTGAAGTAAATGCGACCAAAGCAACCGAAGCCGGTGAGTGGATGAGGTGCAATCGGCAGGGTCGGTGGAGGGTGGACTGCGCACGGACTGTTATTGCAATGTGGGCGTGAGGACAGTCATAGCCAGAGACGGCCGGACCAGATCGATATTACTTCTTATTGTAGCGACTCCAGCATCACCTCGAGAGTGTTGAGAGGAGTGCGACTGTGGGGCGACGAGAGTTACGGGCCTTGTTCGGAGACCATTCTTCGGATGTACCGGCGCTTGAAACGAGCAGGTTGCTGCTTTATCAGCTTTTTGATTGTCTGTCGAATGTGGCCGGGAAGCCGCATTGCGTAGATGTGCTGGGATTGACTCGTTCATTACACATACGCAGCTGAGGCTGTCACGAACGACCTGCCGGCCAGCAAAGTTTCAAGCCTTTTAGGAAATCGATATCCTGGCTGCGTGCGAGCGGGAGAGCTCCAGGTTTGAAGCGGAGGTGATCTGAGCTGCCTTGGTGTTGAGGTTTTGCTCGGAGTCTGAAGCGAGGCATACTGGTGTATGCAGGATGCGTGAGCAGCTTTTGTGGAGAATTTGCTCCGGTCGTCAGAATTAACGGGCATAGGTGAAGTAGTACATGAGGTGGATGGGTAGTAGATCGGTAGTTTGAAATTTAGAGGATTGTGGCGAATGGTGCAGACATGGATGGATTGCTGTTGGAGCAAAGTTTCATACAGGTCTCGATAGAGCCGTCACATTTGGTTTCTGCCTGGACATCGAGGCTCTAGTTCTCACTCACCTCTATCGTGGTGGAGAACGAGTGATTCACAGGTAGGCTGGCGGCAGGAAATATGGGTCCACGAGTTTCAGCGATGCTTCTCCCAGTAGTGCTCGCACTGGTTTGGTCAGTTTCAGCGCAAGCCCCAGGTAAGAATGCTCATTCATTCATTCATTCGAGAGAGAGAGAGAGAGAGAGAGAGAGAGAGAGAGAGAGAGAGAGAGAGAGAGAGAGAGAGAGAGAGAGAGAGAGAGAGAGAGAGAGAGAGAGAGAGAGAGAGAGAGAGAGAGAGAGAGAGAGAGAGAGAGAGATCGACTAACGAAAGTTGTGATATGATGCTTTTTCATCCAGCTCCAACGGAAGTGCGCATTGCCTGTGGGACCAAGGAAAAATATCAAACACCCGAGCGCCTCTGGGACAAGGATTGGGGCTACACAGGAGGAAGTGTTGGGAACCTGACCGCTGAGAAGCAAAGAGATTCGGATTTCACGCATCTGAGGTATTGGACGATGACCGATGGACCCAACAACTGTTACAACATTACAGTTCCCAATGGGCATTACGTCTTCAGATTCTTTTTCAGCTTTGGACAAGCGGATAACTCCAACCGGGAACCGCAATTCGATGTTTCTCTTGAAGGGACTCTAGCATACTCTCTGAAGCCTGCTTGGAGCAACACGGATGACACATCATACGCGGATTCTTTACTGTTCGTCGATGATGGGACGGCGACCGCTTGTTTTCACAGTACAGGTCATGGCAATCCTGCCGTAGTTACCATCGAAATTTTGCAGCTGTACGAGGATGCCTACGACCTAGGATTTGGACATTGGAATCACCACTATCTGCTGAACGCCATGTCTAGGGTGAGTTGTGGGGCAGGAAAAGATGCTTACGGAACCACTTTGGGTGCTGATCCATGGGGAGGAGATCGGTATTGGTCTCGGGATGTGTATAAGTATGAGGGGGACAATATTGCCACAGTAGAAACTACTCAGCCGATTAGGAATGTAAACATCCGCCCACAATTTTATCCGGAGGCGATTTATCAGGGTGCCACCATTACCAAATTCGGAGGTTCTGTTTCGTACGCTTTCCCTATCGAGCCGAGCCAAAATTACTCAATCTGGCTTCATTTTGCCGAGATTGGTGACCTAGGCATCACAGCCCCTGGGCAAAGAGTCTTTGATGTTCTCTACAACGACGAAGTTCTCTTTCCAGATGTTGATATTTATGCTTTAGCAGGTGGACCGAATGCCGCGGTTGTCTTGAACAAAACTCTGTTAGTTGATGGAAAAGCATTGACATTAAAGTTCAAACCAAAAGTTGGTGATATCCTCGTGTGCGCTATTGAGGTTTACCAGGTTGTCGAGCGTGAGTTCCCCACGAAAGCCTCAGACGGTAAGCACATCCGCATAGTCCCAGCTTATCAAGCTCTCATGCTGATTGAGTGATTAGGAGACAGAGCTGCATCACTCAGATTTTAGTCGCTTTACCCTTCGCAAGTTAAGTCTTGAATTCTCGAGGTAAAGTTCGTATTTTGGATCAGCGGAATTGCGATATTGAGAGGTTTTCTGGGGAATTGCTGCTTGAGAAATATACATGTGGTGGTATTAGAATGTGGAATGTTGTAGATCACCCTATTGAGTGAGATTTCTATTATTTTGCTCTTTTTCTTTCTGAACTTGTTAACAGACTTATGGAATTGGGTTAGCTGATTCTTTCACTAAATATACACAATCCATACATAAGCTTTTAGAGGATACTTTTAGATTATTGACTTTTTTTAAATGTAGTTTTCTCTCCTAGTTCATGGAGTAAAAGATTGGATGTCTGGTTGTCATACGTGTTAGAGTTATCCACCTTTTAGGGAAAAAATAAGCAAGATCTAGGAAGAAGAGTACCTTTCAGGAATAGTTATGGTTTGTCGATTGTTTCCGAAAGCTTTTAACTTTGAGCCATGCGTGTTTGCAGTATGGGCGTTGAAGGCTTTGAAGTATCCCATGGGCATCCCTCCACGCATGGGCTGGATCGGTGATCCATGTGTTCCCCAGGAACATCCTTGGGATGGAATTGCGTGTAGACTCGACTATGGGCAAAAGTCGAGGTTGATAACTGGACTGTAAGTGAAGTTTTCTGTCGGTCATTGGACCTTCCATATACCCTACTTTTACGTATCATACTCAGGACATCAACCTTCTACTTGATCTTTTTAGAATTTGAGTATCGAATATCCAAAGTCAATTTAGGCCATTTCTTTGTAGTCTTTGTACATCGTTTGATCATGCATATCACGTATCGTCTCTTGTCCTCGTTGTCCTTGTGAGAAGAGGAGAAATTTTCAGTACCTTATTAACCTTCACTTGTCAATTGTTTCTGCAGAGAGCTTCAAAATGAGGGACTCAGGGGTATCCTCACTAATGACATTTCGCAGCTAGTTTACTTAGATCACATGTAAGTTTGATGCATCGTGAACACAGTCATTCTTAGTTTATGATTGCGTGCAGTCGGAATGAAATTGGCACAAATGGTTGTGCAGATTTTGAATAGTTGAAAGAATGCATCGTTGTAGGTGGGCTTGGAGCATCTGTTGGCTTTGCAAGATTGTTCATCGTTTGATGTGTTTCCCATTTTTGCAACAGAAACTTGAACGACAATTCAATTTCAGGTCCAATACCTGCGTCGATCGGCAATCTTAATAGCCTTACCCGGCTGTGAGTATCTAACTCCCGAAGCTCTACTATACCTTCTTGTGTTCGCTAATATGCGTAATTCGGATCAGCGCGATACAGGCCAAATTTCATTCAGTAGAATGTTTGTATGATCTATTAGTTTCATGACTGAAGTCACGAAGCTCCATATGACACCTCACTTGGAAGCTCTGTGGTTTAACATCGAAGAAGATGATGCACCTAAGGCATTGTGAACTACTTCTTTTCCATCGTAGAAATTGAAGCATTCCGTAAACATTGAAGAATCCTATCGCTGATATACTCGCCTTTCAACTCTAGTATAACTATTACAACTTCTGTGGAAAAGCCGCTAATGTCCTGTATTTCTAGTTTTCGTTGTAGTTAGTTCGGAAAGTAAATTGATCAGACACCCTTCAGAAGCTGCGAACGACGTATCATTAGGAACAAAAGTAACGGTCAAATCCTTCAAACATTGAAGTGAAGATCTTTTGTTGCGTTTTTGATTTGATCTTTACAATCTGACGGCATGTGGTATGGACTGATTTGTGGTTAGGGACTTGGCCAATAACAAGTTTAACGGAACTATTCCTGAAGCTCTCGGACGGTTGGATAAACTGACGGAATTGTAAGTAATAAACATTGTCTTTCGTAGTTCCCTTGTCTGCATTAGTCTCCCAATGTCCATTAGTGATGAGGTATTGCAGTTGTAATTTGTCTTGCCTAGACTGGGGTGTTTCCAATTTGATTGCCATTTTTTTGTTCTACCACTCAACAGATATCACGCTGTTGATATGAAACTCGCATGGCCACACTGTGTCACTCAATACACCATATTGTGATGCAGGTACTTACAAAACAACGAGCTGACAGGAAGGGTTCCTGCCACCCTTGCTGCCGGACCTGTTCGAGGAGCAAGCTTCAAGTAAGTCTAGTGACGTACGACTTTAATCAAGGTTCACTCTTAACAAGCTAACACGCTAAATATTGAACGCTGCTGATAAATAAGATGGGAAATGCTCGATGAGAAGTCTGTTAGCTTGTAAAATCGATTTTTTTCGTTTCTAACATTGACATGTGTCGATCGCAGCTTCGTAGGAAATCCTGATCTGTGCGGGATACCAGGACTGAAAGCATGCAAACGGCTGTCAGCCGGTGCCATCTTCGGAATCATCATCGGAGTGCTACTCGGAAGTGGGTTCTTGGTTCTCTGCGGTGTAGTGGTTTGGAAGAGACGAGAGAACATAGCTCGAGCTCACAAGATCATGAGTCGTAAGTCTCTATACTGGTTCTCCGGTAGTCCTTGTATGACTAAGTTTCATCCCCGTGTACGTGCGCATGGACTCTATATTATTTATGTCATACGTCTACTACTTTTCTAAGCCTGCTAATGTGTCTATTATCTTGTGGTATGTGCAGCACCTAAGGCTCCTTATGCGGCAGCCAGAACTAGTGCTATCGAGAAAAACGTCCAACTGTCTAGATATACTTCATTTGAAGAAAAAGTGTAACAGGCTGCTATTAGTAATATAGAGGCCCACAACTAGTTTACCTACTTACTGACAATGCTGACAGCGAGCCGGATTGCTAATATGATGTTTGACCATGTGCAGCTCGTGAGGCTCCATATGCGGCATCCCACACCAGAGCAAATGCTCCAGTGAAAGACGTACAGCTTTCTAGATTTGGTTCTTTCACTGAGCAGAGACTAATGTCGGTCTCTGGTGGGAGTGCTCCTCAAAGTCCCAAAGTGTGAAGATGTGAGGCCCCCTCCCCCTTACTGCTGCAGTTGTTTTCTAGGACTGACTTGACTGGCCTTTCTTGACTGGAGCCACCGGATTCGTTTCTCATATACATATCACTCGAGATGGTTGTGCAAATCAAGAAAGGGCGATGGATGCAGAGAAAGCGCACGTCTCCGCACTCTGCTACATAGCAATTGAGTCAGACTCGTATCTTCTGGAGGAGAACAGGCTACTCTGTGATATACAGTTCTCGGGCTGAACCACATTTGTAACACGTTATACTTCTAGCGCATGTGGACCTTAATCAGCCGTCTTCAGGCTGAGAATGAAACAGTGCGATAGTTTTATCAATACCTGTGGGCACCAGTTTCCCACAGAATCCATGTAAGCGATGCCCTCGCCGCTTGTCCAAACGGAAGATCGAACCTATTTCAAAGTTGTCTCCCTCCTTCCATATGCGTCTTGCTTTCTCGTGGTCGAGGTCTTATTACTCGCAGTGTTGAGCAGTGGCGAATGTGTTGCTTGTTTTGGTTCGTGTCTGATCTTCATGGATGGAGCTTGAGTGGACGTGATATGGGCAGAACGTTCTCATGCAAATGGTAATAGAGTCTGAGTAGACTTCAGCAAAGTGGAGCAAAGCTGGTCCGCTGAAGAATTGTAGCCAAAATAGTAGACCTATCAGCGGTGAATTGAAAAGAGACAAAGTTGGTACGATATTCGAAAGTGATGAGTACCGACAAACCTCGTGCTGCGCGTGTCATGAGTGTGGTGTCCATGCAAGGGCCGAAGGCGTCGATTGGCCTATGTGCTCTTGGATGTTTGACTTACGAGTGTACCTTCTCGTGCTGCACATGTCAAGAACAAGAGTAGTACGATGCTCTTGTTCCGACGATTGTTCCTCTTTGCATCATCGGAACTTGCGAAATTGAAGACGTTCAAGCTTGGAGAGAAAGTCTGCTGCTCTCTATCGCTATCGCGAACACGTGATATGCCGCGGAACGGAAGGTTGAGAATGGTGCTAATCTACATCTTCTAATTCCTGCAATCATAGGGTCGAATTGAATGTCAACCGTTCCCTCGTCCAATGAGCCAGAAACAGGGATGATGGAAGGCCACGAAGCCAAAGGAGTACTGAAATGTGGTTGATGTCGCCCTCGCACATGTACTAGAACTGTCACATTCGGCACTGAAGGACCTGAAATACGGAAAGCAAATTTTGAATCTACACTTTATGAAGCTCTTGTGCAAGTAATCACATCATACCGTAAACACAACAGTACATCTCATCACATGGAATTCTCATAATCCACGAGCATTCCTAAAACTGCAACAACTCAGATGGACAGCCCATGCTCCCCCACGGAAACGGAATAACATCGGCGCTGAATTTATACGAAGGAGGGACCGAGGATCTATTTTAGGGCGTCTATTTTAGTTGAGACAAGGGCGTTCAAAGCATATGAGCTCATAACGATTTCGATGGAAAGCAGCAACGTGACATACGAATACAGTCATGAATACAGTACATGGACAATGTTCAGTCCAATACGTGAGACACGTGTCGGGCAGGTACACTTAGAGGAGCCTGGCGTTCATATGCTCCAATTGCGAAAGGAACGAATTTATGTCCGTCGAGAGCTGACGGAGTAGCGAGGAGTGGTGGTGGTGGTGGTGGTCAGGCAGGCAGGCGGACGCGCGGGCGGGCCGCGAGCGCTGACTAAAGCTGGCTGGCCGCGGCAGCAGCAGCAGCGGGAGGAGGAGCCCCGAGCCCAAAGAGCCGAGAGGAGAGAGAGAGAGGGAGGACAGTCCATTCGTCCTCCCTCCTCTCTCTCGCTGTTATACTCGTTTGCGATTCTTTCCGTCCCATTAATCGCCGTGGACGCGGTTTGAGCCTCTGGTGGTTTGGGGGAAGGGGAAGGGGAGGGGGAGGGGGCTGGCCAGCGCTGGTCCTGCGCTCTATGCTGAACTCGGAATTATCATCGTTAATCCCGAGTTACTGCGGTCGGTAATTGTAAAGTGAGCCTCTTCTTTGCATTTTGGGGCTTTGTGCTGTAGCCGAGTGTGTCAAAAGCGAGAGGGAGGGCGGAAGCGAGCGATAGAGGAAGAGGAAGAGAAGGAGGAGGAGGAGGAGAAGCAGTCGACCTGTTTGCGGGACCTGAGACGCTGTTCTGGCAACCCTGGCTTGCCGGGGTCAGCAGCATTCGGGTGGTGGGGGGATTGCATCAGACACAGGCGCACTTAATTACCCTGTGTCTTGCTTGCTAGATTGGTCCCGATTGTGGATGAAATGCCTGTTGCCGACGACTGAAGACATTTACGCGGTTGGTCACAGGGAGAGGCCGGGACGACGGTGGACGACAGTAGGGGCGTGGCTTTGAAGCGTTTTCGGCATTGCGGGGATCCGTTCGTGCTTCCGGAAAAATTGTCCTTCCTGGCTGAGTTTTTGGTGGTTGAGGCTGTTCTTCATTTCTCGTGGAGCCAATTGGGACGAGCCATAAGGTTGCATCAAATCTGAGAGGATTTTGAAGTAATTTATGAAAAAGAATCTGAACTGTTGGTCATTTTGATGAAAGTGTCCTGAGCAGTTTAGAAAGGTCGCAGCCTGATTCAATTTCTGGATGTCATGCAACGAAGGGAGGTACTGTAAGCATCGAGTCAAACTATGTCACGTTTCAAACGATTGTAGAAACCCTAGGCTCTCATAGGAGACATTTGAAGCGGAAACTGATGGTCATACAAGGCTCCAGCCTTGAGGTCTAGCCCCGTTGACTGTTGACTTGCCGTTTAGTGAAGAGGGACGAAGGTTCCACTGTCTGCTGTTTTGGAGAGGGACTTGGTTCCTGATTGCGGTGACCTCTGAGATAATTCTCAAGATCTCGAAGGTGCAGTGGATTCTCCAGCCATAGAGGTCTGTGCATAGGTCAGAAGGGTAAGACGACCGACCAAGGGATATGGGAGAATCAATAGCAGAGGAGCTGGTACAACTTCTACGGGGATTCAGTGCATCACTCACGCTCAAGTTTTCTCACCTGATTGCGTTTTTCCTCCGCTATAAGGTAGAGCAATCTTTACATTTTCTACTTCGTGACATCCTATTTTTTCTCCTACACCAACTTGGCTCCTGATTAATTTTATTTAGCTTGAATGGCGAGGACACTTGAGTTTGCTCTTTTTATTTACTTCTGTTCGGAGTTTTACGGCTTTTTTGTTCTTAGTTCAGTGGGTTAGATTGCTGCTTGCACATCAATGAAACAGCTCAGTTTGTTTGTCCTGTGTATTACTCTTCCTCACGTTTCTTCTTAGTAGCTAAGAGCGTTACGCACATAGTTCTGGCCATTCTATTTTTTTGGTCATCTCCTTTCTGTCAGCTTCGAATCTGCCAGGGATGAGGAACATTCCGTGTGGCTTGAGAGTCCTTCAAAGTATGCTGTGATATCCTTTGTGTGCTCTTTCATTAGCTCATGCCTTATCCCAGCCATTGTATATTTTCCACATGGTTTTCCAAGCGGTGGTAAAGCTTGTGTAAGGAACTGGGAATGGTTGAACCAGCAAGGAGTAATGCTCTCGTTGTAATGAAAGTAGGGTTCAGTGTCTTGGTCTCATTGTAACGAACTTGGGGGTTGTGTCCTTTTCTTTGATGTATGTCTTGCCTTTTGCAAATTCATGATAATTTGATCAATTATCTTCAGAAGAGGACGCCACACGGCTCTTAAACATTGAAACCATAATATGGGTCATTTATCTCGTCAACCAGTTTAGTACAAGAGCACTGATAATTTTTTTGCATACTCGTCTTACTAGTGGCGGCCCTTTGTTAACGTCCTAGGTTGAGATAATGTTTTTGGGTTCATATTCTTTGGTGTTCAGTACATATTTGTGAACAGTCGGATTCAGGAAACCCACTTTATGTAGAACTATAGGTTTGATCAAATGCGACAATCCATTGCCTGTCTTACATGTTGCCCTCATATGATGGCAGATCATATATTATTTGTTACCCCAAGAGAACTGGTACCCCAATTGATATATTCTGATCTCTATGTCCATATCTTTGTAACAGTGGCATCGGCCGAGTCAAAGTCTCGTGGGAGATAGACCGTAGATTAATTAACATGTAAAAAAATATTGTTTTCCTTCATGTAACCAACAGTGTAGATGAAGAGGACTTTATCATTGAGACATTCGGAAATAGATTGTCCACACAACCCACTCTTCTCAAGCTGTACTTCTTCTTGTATTAAATTACCTTGACGATCCAAGAGTCTGTGTATGTTAGCCGAGCTGCACACACTATCCACATTGTCTGGCTTGATAATATCCTCATTTATGTTGTGTCTTCTGCCTCGATTAGTCTGTCGAGTTGGTTGTGGAGTTCAAGTGAATATGCTCAATGTGATCCACAAACTATATTCAACATGCAAGTCTATCTTTGTTGATGACTTTACACCAACCTTCTTATTTCTCTGGCAGTTGTATCCTTGAAGTAAGAAAGAAGACGACTCTGCCTCTGATCAGAGTTGTTCCTTGTCAGCCATGCCGCCATTCGCTTTGAAGGTTAGCTTTAACCGCTCTCAGAGGCCTTTGTGGGTTCTTTGAATGATCTATGAACTTCAGTTCATAGGACTTTCAGGTTCTTGTATGGAGTCCAGTTTTGAAATGCGGCAACATGACGACCGCACTTTGAAGTCAACCCATACACTTTGTTCCAGATCATAACGTGTAAATCTGTAAACAAGCTGATTTGGCTTGTTTCGATCTCCAGGGTGGGGCGTTTCAGAAAGTATGAAAAATGTTGTCCTGAAGGCCAATTACTTCTATAAGAGAGAATTGTCATCTTTACCCTGCTTGCTCAATCGAGCCTTCCAGACCAGGAATATGTCGACTCTTGTTGAAACAGGAATCTCCCTAGCAGTCTATGTTCTTGTTTGATTATATTCTGTTCCTGACTGGTCCGGGAGAACCCAACAAGAATGGGTGAGCTTTGCCAGTGTGGTGGTTGATGCCAAAAATCTGCTTTTTTGCGTATGAATTCTTCCAATACTTCACAAATCATGGAGAACACTTCTGAATACTGTATTTCTGGCATTGATTTAGGAAGTTTCTTTATCAGTACGCTTTGTGGTTATCCGTGTGTCTGACATTGTCTTCGTCATCTACCAGAACGCCAGCTCAGCAGGTGCGATCGCCGGTTTTGCCATTGCTTTGGTTTGTACCTGGAAATACCTGAAGACTCCAAGTCGTCAGCGCAACAAAATCAACGACAAACGCGATGCTCCTTCATCCTCTAATGCTCCTCCTATGGAGACTACAGCCGAAGGCACATCAACTGCTATTGCCAAGTCTCTCACTCAACCCATCCAACGTGGTGTTGTCATTCGCGATTCACCTCCAGCTACCCAGGTTTGCAATGAACCCTTTTGCTCAAGTCCAACGTTCATACTTGTTTATTCTGAACAGAAGTAATGAAAAGTCATTGTACAGCTGGAAGATACCCCGGTCGACTTCGTTACGTTGCAATGAAAATATTGCTGAACTTATCAGGAACTTGCTGTGGTTTATTTTTGTAGCTTACGTTGGCACAGATGGTGAGGCGACAACTTCAAGGTGGTAGGAAGGTATTAGTTTGATGCCACTTCTATCGTTCTTCCCATCCTCGTCTTTTAAATATTCTCATTTATACCACATCACACATCGTGAATATAGGAAGTACTAAGAGGGCTTTTACAGTCTAGGTACAAGTCGGGTACAAGCTCACTACGCTTCTTATGCATTTGAGGGAACATAATTAGGTTTTGAACAGTAATTTTAGGAGGATGATTTTTCCCTGCAGCTGAAAGATTGTCTCTGTTGTAAAATATATAGATGACTTGCCAGTTAGTTGGAGTAATACTCGAAGAATCCACATCCGAAGATCTTCAGGTGAGTGCGTTGAACGTTCGTTTGGTTTGATTGTCTTGTAGATATGATTCACCAGTTTACATTGCCTGTTGAGTTGCCATTCTTTTTCTGGTATCACTTGTGCAGGACCAATTGGGTTGTGCCATATTACATTATTATTGTATTGTTTTGAAAGTTCATTTGTTCTTTGGAGATGGTCGCCTGCCTCATCGACGTGTTATATTCTTTAGACTAGGAGAACATCACACATTGCATAAATAATGAGAATACGTTGTTTATGGGTAGGAGCTAAGAATATTGTGATATATTTGTTCGGATTAGCGAGTAGAACTGTGTTTGAAAGTCTCTTTTTGCGTCCTTTACCGCGAGTATGTAATAACTTCAACATTTGTCCTGGCATGACAGAAGCATGCAGTGGTCAGGCCAGCTGTCGTCGATGTTCTGTTGGAAGTTGCGCGCTCGTGCGATCTATATCTTCTCGCAAGGGTCCTTGATGATGAGAGCGAGGTTTGTTTTTCGGGGAAAACGGGTCTTTTTATGGAATTTGTGTCATTCCTATACCTAAACATAGGGTGCCGACCCGGTAATTGGTTTAAGAGATTTTCACAGATATCCTGATAGGGGTATAAACGTTCCTGACCTTACTCTCAAAGTTTCGCAAGATGGAAAGGACAATGACCATGTTGCGTTTGGTTTGGCTTCTTCCCTTGGGGGATCTAGAGTTCCTTGAGTAGAGGCATTGCACTGCTAAAACCTTCTATCGATATGTATACTGACGTTCACGTTGGATTCACTCGTCAATCACATATACTCATCGTAATATAGATGTCGAAGTCATGAAGTTGCTGGATATTGTGGCCGCCGGCCGTAACTTCATAGTAATGGGAACTGTTGGATGATATATAGCAGAGTATTACAACACGGATTGATTGGTTTGCATGTATACGATTTGCAGGCTTTGGTACTTGCTGCGTTGGATGCTGTCGGTGTTTTTACCGTTGGTGGTTTAAACCGTAACAAGGTATTTGACGAAAGTCAGACAGACCAATTAATACCATGTAGCCTCGGTTACGAAGAACATGAACTTCTCTTATTCACTCGTATAACTGGGATATTTGTTAAAGTATCTACATTTTCCTACTTTGAACGGATTTTACGTTCGCGCCATTCTCAACTGCGTGTTTTAGATCTATAGATACGTGGAGTGTAAGTTTCAAGCCCGAGAATGTTGATACTGAACTCATAGTGAATGTTTTCCTCAACCCTTGATCTAATATATTCTATTTCTGTTCAGGTACTTTTCTGCTCAACAGAGGCGGGGAGGACTTCATTTGTGCGACAGTTAGAGCCTGACTGGCATGTCGACGTATCTTCAGAAACCATTTCCCAGTTGGCTGTACGTAGCTCATTGCTCATCGTCATATCTCTGTGAATCACCTGCCTGTTTGCTTCATTAAAAACGTCGTTTTGTTTGTTAAAAACTTCCGTTCAAGGAATACGACAATTTGGAAATCTTGTTCTTGCTTAGAACTGTGGGTCATTGGAGTAGCCAAGATGTGGAAGGTACATGTGGTTAATCAAATCAGGTATGAGGGCCTCCAGAAAAACTGATAGCTGTTTATTAGTAACGATGAGATGATCTATAGGACATGGTGGATGAGCTACTTGAGAGTAAAGTCCTTGCGAAATTTCAGAGTAGTTGCGGTTTATTTTATTGTCTATACCAGTGGATTGCCCTGGAAGATGATTAAGGGTGAAGTATAATCTTGAGTTAACAAGATGACTTAAGACAAAGTTGTTTTGTTTGGACATGGATTGCAGCGGTTTATCCGGCATCAACTACATATCGCACCCGCGGGAGCAGCGCCAATTGCAACGAACGTTTTTGGAGCTGAATCACTGGAGTGCTATTTTGGCTTGCCTGCGAGTGGTGGCTTCATTTAGCTGGCAACCTTCAAATTCCAAGGATTCTCACTATCCTTTGCACGAGTAGTTTCCCACCTGTAGTCTCTGATGTTCCTAAGCGGATTTCTTTTCCTCAGCCACTCTCTGTAGCTTGCAAGGAATGGTGTGAAATAGGGAGCTTTAAGAGCAGAATTCATGGAGAGCATGAGAGAGAGAGAGAGCGAGAGCGAGAGAGATGGGGAGGGAAGGAGAAGAGTTATTCCAGCTTTATGCTCTTAAAGTGGGGGTGTGGTAGACACTGGCGTTTTCTTCAGCATAAATTCGTGGTCTTTACATGAAATTTAACAAATGTGAAGGGATCTTTTCTCTGTCTAATGTTATATATTGGAAAATTACTTATGGGGTCCTGAAACTCTCTTGTTTTAGGTCCGCTCAATTTTTAGACCTGCAGACCAGCTCCACTCAGGACACTTAGATACTTTGTCACATAGTTTCTAGAAATTCGTGTATTTTCGAAGGAAATGATACGTTCAAATCATTCGCCTCGCCATGGGTCCGCGTTCAATGAATATCAATTAATTTTATTCTGGTGGATTCCTTTGAGTTTAACGAATTGTGTCTGGTGTCCTCACGCCATATACGATATTTATTTTTGTGGACGTTGGAATTGTTCACTATCTGTACATTCGGATGTTCGAGAAGGAGCTTTTGGACATATCGTGAATGCAAGACTGAGGGTGAAGCATATGCTGATCTTGAGTAGGCGGCAATGAGGACCTCAAATAACTTAATTGGTCGTGTTGTGTTTCTCTCAGACCTTGTTGCTTTCAGCGTGAGAGCACTGCATCTTGCCTTCTAGTCAGTCCTTTTGGCTCGGGGATTGTGTAACCCATGCATATCAAGGTTTGTGGAATAATATAGATACGCTCGCACAGGTGCAAGCCCCGAAGGTGTAGTAGTAATTATGCCTCAATACTTACACCCGAAAGTATGTGCACACTGGTTCACCAGGATTTGAGTAGGTTATATGAGTAGATGAATACATTCATCTACTCAATAACCTCGCCAATCATAAGGCCCTTCAGAACTGCAGCAAAAGTCTATCAGAGGCAGAACCATATGAAGTGCCCACAAGACTATTATAAGTGGAGAAGAAAGATGCACTCAGCAAGAGTCAACTAATTTATCAACTAACAGGGTACATTCATAAATTATGTGTTTAATCAAGAATAGTTAATGTAGCTACAATGTACTCGCTAATTAAAGGTTGTTTTTCCGTGTTGCTTCCACCTTGACTATAGATTCTGAAATGTACGATTGTTTCTATAACACTTCTCATGGTAGAAAGTCAATATCCTATGCATTCTATTGCAAACTATGATTAATTTAGAGTAGAAAACTCACAAATAAGGATAAATAATCGAAGCTTCTATGGATTAGGGCTTTGTGTGTAGACAAAGAATTTAATGGTTGACAACCATATTCCATTAGCTTGCCACACCATTTTTTTGACCGCTAGACTTCGCTAAGGCACTGTGACTGTTTACTTGCTTGACAAAAATATGAAGACGATCACACGCTGCTAGCTAAAACCTTGCTCAACAGAATTTTTGTATGCTATTAATTCTTTGCCCCTGCTGTGATGCCAATTTAATCTTCACGAACAAAACGTAAACGGATAATGCAAAACAAACCGTCGTAATTTAGGGGTTCACGTAAGTAAGGACACACAAAGCTTTGCCAAAAATTACTAGTTTTGTGTCACTAAGATCTTCTGCGACTGCTCTTACATATTAGTTGCTACGTTTGTCTAATCATAATTAAGCTAACTAGATTTTATATCTAAAGTGATTGGAGATAACCACTAATTGAGTGTAAAACTAAAGATATTGGCATGACATATGTAGTATAAATCTTGTCAAGTTAATTCACACAAAAATTATAGAAGTACTCGTAACATATGTTAGGTCATGACGCTCTTTGGTCTTGAATTGAGCTGTCCACGCTCTGCACTTAAGCTTAGATCCATATACCAATTTGTGCTGAACATCCAATAGTTCAGCTTCACCGCTTTCAACGCGATTTGTAAGTATCTTAAGCTTGTATAATCACCAGGCCAGATATCAATGGCGGTTTTCTTGTCTTGATCATTGGAGTAAAACAAAACTTTCCACACCACCTTTCTCGATCCCATATGTATATAAGGTACACTCAGACCAGTTTCAGCATTCAGAAATCTTCATCTAGAATTGCTTCTGAAGCATTACAGCTTTCGATCGCTCTGCAGGTGAAGTATCTTTCAGAGGTGAATATCAAGATCCACCAAGGAAATTCGAACTAACATTGTATCGAAATCCCCTGAGTTTCTGCTAGTAACTCAGCACTACTAGTCACTTGCAAAATTAGCTCAACATATTTTGAAAGGCAGGCTTTGAGCTGGACAATGATGTTATCTCTTGCAATGAATGATTTTCTCATTATTCATCTCTCCAAGCTCATATGACTCGAATCCAGAAACTGATCACAATTTGGGGTTTTAAGGTCCTTTGAGCGACTTCAAACGTGCCAAGTTCGCCAGGAGTTACCATGGCATCCAAAACAAAGAAGATGTCATACTTCCTCTTTGCAGTAATCTTCTTCGCTGAAGCGCTGTAATCGAAGACCACAGTTGCTTCTAACCTCCTACTGCCGCTCCTGCTCCCAAAGCTAGTGCCGATCAGCACCTTCGGTGTTTGCACCATCCGTGCGTTCCAGGACTCACAAATCTTCCAGCCCAAAAGCATGCTCCCGTGCCTGCACCTACCCATTCTTTGGCTGCCAATCTGAACTCCGCACCTGCTCCAGGACCATCTAATTCCAAGGTACTATATATAACTGAAAACTCTCAGTCTCGAGTTCATATTATGTTTAGAGTGCTTGAAGCTCCTCTCAGGTTGTGTGGAAGGTCCCTTGTAGGAGTTCCTGGTTATTTTATCTAGAATTTATATGAAGGAAGCTTTCAAGGTCGCAGTTCAAAAGCATACGTTTGGATGTACATTTATGCAAATTGCTTTTCCTTATCAAAACTGCTTGGTATCATTAGCTTCAGAATGCGGGAGCTTTGATGACGAGTACTAGGTGGAGCACTCCAGTGATTATCGTATCTGTTTGGGTAGACCTTGCTTTTCAGTTCTACTTAGAACAACGATAAGTTGATATTATATGATTTAAAATGGAAACAAAGAGAAAATTGTTCTGGGATGATATTGAGTGCAATAAAAGTCTATTCCTCCGAGAATTACTAAAAACCATTTTCCGTTTACGTAAAGATCTAAAATATGTGAGTTAAGTGAACGTGCCAACAGATTTGTGGTAAAATGATCAACATGAAGTTATACTCAGTTGCAGGTCAGGTTCAGATTTGGTTTTTGTTTTTCCAGCAAGTGATATCTTTTGGAATGCAACAATCATGGCTGTAAGCCCGGTTGCATGTGGAATTCGAAGGTAGTGAAGATATTGCGTTCAATAATTTCCGTTTTATGATAATTTTCTGTAATATCCAGTTCATGCCCGAACCTGGACAGGTTGTGTAGCAGCTTATATATTGCAGTTAATGAAGAAAGAGTCCTCGGTCGAGATCTTCATGAGGTTCTGATCCTTCTATGTATGTCAAATCACACAAGATCAGAGTGTTCTGGATGAAATAGTCATTTCTTGGAAAACTGTTATACGCTCTGCGGGGAGTCAACTAAAATCCTTTACACCTACTGTTTTCTGTCCTGCGCTGGAAACCGATAACTTGACCTTAGAGTTTGTAACTATTGCTCACGAACGATGATTCCTAGATATATTACTTCGGTCTAGCTTCGCGGAAATGTGACTATCAAAGCAAGACAGTGTCAACCGTCTTGACAATGTCTTGTTGAAGCTCATAAGTCACGTTGAATAATCATGGTGCATCAAATGAATCTCAGCTTTAATCCTAGTGCTGAACACTAGTTTTTATCCCTTCACCGGGTTCAGACTTTCCTTGGCACATTGTATAAAAAACCACATACATTACTATGCGATCAAAGCTGGAAGTATATTCGTACGCAGCCTTTTGGATTGGAACTGACCGGTGACTCGAGTGCGATGGTTGGAAATTCAGAAAATTATGAGCTTATCGCTACTGCTAAAGGATTCTGGGCCAAAAATATAGAGCTCACACAAGTTCTAGAGGAAAAACGCTATCGCTACTGAAGGAGACTAAGAAGTAAAATCTGGGCAGGCTTCAAGCGCGAAAAGCAATTTGGTTCGATGCTACAAAGTATTGCTAATGGAAATGCCCCATATTTTAACGTGTTTTGAAATGTAAATGATATGCCTATATCAGCCGATATATTACTCAATAGCGGAACAACGAGGTAGATGCCAACATCTTGATACAGTCATATGCAGTGATGCTCTTTGCGGGCAAGAAAACTTTGAGCTGCAAGATCGACAAATTGGATCCATTTCCTTCCAACCGGATCTGATCAAGGCGCTTATGAATGTCCAAATATCCAAGCAAGTTCTCAGTGACCCGATCTGAATCTTACCAACTCCATGAACTTCCAGTGCAGATTTCAAACTTCCTCTGCGCAGTCCGACTAGTTTAATGCCTTCAACTTGGGTATGCCATAGAATTAATGATGGTATGACCTTTGTAGTCCTAAGTCGTCTACTCCGTGTGTCCTTTCGTACTGAGGCTTGTCGAGTAATACCAACAAACGCAGCAGTATGTAAGAGTTCTAATTAGAATCCATCTCATGAATCCGACACAAGGCTGTGATGATGATTTCCTACAGATCCGATCTTTACTTCGTCTGTCCATGTTGAATAGAGGACCTACATCATCTATCATCTTGCAAATCATGTGTTTTCTTCCTCTCCACCTGCGTCGAGGCGGTAACATGCCTGCTTGGGTAATGGCCACCACGCTCAGCTTGATTTGTGCACAAGAAATGAGATATTAGTCGCGGTTCTATCGGGTTTCCTGGTTGTGTGGCATGGGCATGGACATGCTGGGGCTGTTCACTTGGTTGAGCCCTTTTTACTTCATAGAACTCTAAAATATAAACTTTCACGTAGACACTCAACAGGCTGTCGTTCTCTCACCTGGAACAAACACCACTTGGCTACTTCTGAAACATCTACAATTTTAAATTGCCCAGTGCTAGTTTTCAGTATTTTGCACTATCTGAGCATATCCGTTATCGATTTGCTAAGACCTTTGGTGCCTCCGTGACTCCTGCTTCCACTCCCTCGCTCCATTGTTTGCACGGCAGCACCAGCACCAGCACCATTACCTGTTCTTAGAAAGTTAACTCCACCTCCTTTATGATTGTGTATTCATATCTGTAGAACTCCTGCTCCAGCACTGGCTTGATGATAAACTGGCTGATACAGGAGAAATTTCTGATTGCAGGCATGGACAAAGTTTAAGCCAGGGAAGACTATACACTTTCGCTTGATTTTCTTTGAGAGATGACAGTATACTAATTCCCTTGACTTGTTGTTTTCCAGAATAATGAAGTGATGATGAGCGCACGCGGATGGGTAGCATGTAGATTGCCGATCAGGTTGTCACTGATGCGAGAAATTGGAGGAACATTTCGTTTTCTAGATGCGAGAGAAGGCCAGGCCAGCTGAAGCATGAGTATAGATGCGGGACGCACTTTGGTCGGGTAAACTGTCGGTGGTTTACGGACATTCCTATCTATTAGACGACGTCAATGAAGAGATAACGATAGATCCCGTGGGTGTTCTGGAGGTTAGTTGTTATAATTTGCAGTTACGAGGTGCATTCAGGATGCATTCAGTAAAGGAGGAAACTTGAAATATTCATAGTGCGGCCGCAGGGCGACTGAAACTAGGTACTCCTGATAGAAAATGTTGGAATTAGCATGTGAGTAGCCCAGATTATACACCTGTTCAGTGCCTTTCTGAAATAACTGTAAAACTTTTATGTTACAGCTGTGCCAAATTCAGATGATTGATGGCCGAATCAAGATATAGGAGACTGTACTAACTGTCTGAAATAGCCACACGTATACTGTATTCACTGGAATTTCTTTTCCCATAGGTGAAAGTGCCATACTTTCTTTTCGATCAGTCGATTACTTACGTATTTCTTTAGGCACATGAAATAATGATCATAGATATCGATGTTAATTTCATTTTGTTATTACTCAGGCTAGGGGATCCCAAGTTGGGTATCCGATATTCCGAATACTTTATGGCTATATATCTTACAGTTGGTATTATTTCAAAGTGTGATTACATATGTTCATGCGTGCTCATCGAGCTGGAGTGTTCCTCCTGGAGTTTAATGCTTTTGTTTTGGTGACTAGCTTGTGGATTCTTCCCATCCTTTTTTTGTCAAATTACATGGTGTCTGATTTCAAATCTAGTTATAGAATCCACACTAGGAAGCGCTTCTTATGGCATAAACTCAATGGATGCTAGTGACAAACAATCATATGCAAAGCTTTAACGAAGTTCGGAGTTCCTATCACATTGAATCATTCTTGCTCTCAGCCTTGGGCCTTATATATATAAATATGTTGCAGTATTCCATCATAGTGAAGGGTTTGCTCAACTCCTTGACCTAGGTGGTGACGTGGCCTTACGAGATCGTGACGTCATTTTGCTGTTGCTAGAGACTGTTTCTCTACACTTTTGCATCTTCACCATACTTGAGCAAGGTAATCTGACAAATCGAATCCAAAGAGGCCACTATCTGAGTGTCCTTTCTTTGTAAATTATGAAGAGGTGATAAGCTTAAATACTTAAAGACTATCGCGTCCTTGAATAATAATGAGACCGTCTCTTGGTGGGCTTCTGCAATGAAAAAGCCTGGGATAGAAGGCCGGGTAGTATGTCAGGACTAAATATCAAAGATTGCAGTGAGGAGACTAAAAAAAAATCCTGAATTGTAGCTATATTTTCCAAAAATATCTTGGCCTCATCTGAAACCGAGGAAAGAATTAGAAAGATGTGTAGAAAGAATTACCGGATCCAAATACAGTAACCCGTAAGATTACGATTCTGCATGCTCTCGTGGTGTTCAGACAAAACAAACAAAATACAAGCAAAGTACGGTTTAGTGCTTTCTATCCTTCTTGTCCAGGACAATTCTTTGATTTAGTTCTTCTAAGTTCTTCATTAGAAATGGAAAGAATGAATCCATTGTTCGTACTATCAGTCTACTTACGTACTATCGTACATATATAACTCTCTATACTGAAAACCGATACAGAAAGGAGTACATGGTGTACTCTATCAGGAATATGGGGAGAATGAGATGATGTTGTCAGAATACAGCTCTAGATCTAGCTCCATAAAGAAATGGGAGCATATTGCGTCAGGCCGTGCAAGAGATCTCGAACACGAGAAAAAAATGATCATCAACCGAGGAGCTTCCTCGGATCCAGATATTTTACACGTACATGCATCGGGTACAAGGCGCAGGACCTATTTTGAGTTCATGTATACATCACCTGCCCACGTCCTGGAACGCCTGAAGGGACGGTGTCCGAAGAGGTTGAGTATATCTGCCTCAACAATTTTGAAGTAGAAAACTTGCATCTGAACAGCTAAGATGTAGAGTTTTTGCCATACTTTACCCGTGATTTCGGCAAAAATGTAATTCGCTATAACGAGCAAAACATTGAAAATGCTTCAGTACCGCGACCCTCGGCCTCCTCCTTGCCGCAACATGATACTTGTGTCGTTCACGAGATTATGTTGTTAGCTCCATCCAAGCTATATAAGCTCATATCTAAAAGCAGTTTCAACATTCACTTCTCTTCTCCATAGAGCAATCAGCAAGCTTCGAACATTTGCCATAGACATTCGGCTCGCGATTGCACTGAGTGGGAAGGTCTACTTCTAGCAGTCATTTAGATCAATCTTGCAAGGTGAGTTCAACCTTGCCATGAGCTTTGACTCTGGGTGCTCTAGAAAATTTTGAAATTTGGTATTTCATTTGTCACCTGATTATCTTTCCACTTAATATTCTGTGAAAGTGGTCACCACAACTTAGAAACGATTTCCGTGGGCTCGTTTGGTGACTTCAAACCTTCATAATGTTCTTATCATGATGTCCGGTGTATTGTAACAGACCAAGTAGGTTACTCCGACAAGTTCAGGTTCCACTTTCTCAGCATTAGTTCACCAACCATGGCATCCAAGCTTAACACGAGCTTGTTCCTTCTATTCGGAATGGTCCTCTTCATGGAGGTCAGTGGACAAGCTCAAAGCGCAGCACCAGTCAATGCACCTGCAGTTCCCACCGCTGCACCAACGACCTCTCCTCCTCTTGTGGCAGCACCTTCGGTGACACCATCAGTAGTACCTGCAACGACTCCTTCTTTGACTCCTTCTTTGACCCCAAAGCCTGCTCCAGTCGCTGCACCTAAGCTTGCTCCAGTGTCTACTCCTGTCTCGGCTCTTGCACCTGCACCAGCACCAACCAAGGTAAAGTAATCTTCAAGATTTAATCGTCTTTCATTCTTCTGGATATCTCAATATTCGCTGCAGGTCTGTATTGCTTCCTATACTATAATTTAGAATGAATTCTTGTAACCACATGTGGTCCAAGAGGGTGAGGAGCAGGAGATAACCAGCCAAGCTTAGAATAAAGCTACAACGCTCTCTGGTCTTCTTAACCTTCGTTCCCCACATTCAATGCTATCAACGTGAGCACTAGAAATGGTTGTAACATGTGTTCTGTTCAATGATAAAACACCTCTTTGTCCATGTCAACTTCAGAACGCTGGAGCAGTTAATGGCGCGCATGGATCATGGGGAGCTCTTGTTCTCGTTTCAGGTGTTTTGGCAGCCGTTGCATTCTAAGGCGTCTACGTTATCAGTACAGTGAGAGGGTAAATTGATTTAGGCTTAGATGTCTTTGAGAAGTTCCAGAAAGAACCACGGTGATTGTGTAGTTCGAATAAACTTATAGTCGGTATGTCAGAAGCATAATCCAAGATATACTTGGAAATGTGCTGTCCTGGATTCAGTTTTAGCTGCATGCCAACAGCAGCCAACGAAAGTATCATCGTGATGCCTTTAGAGAGTAGGGATCAAAGATGCAGACATAATGCTCCTTTTCTTAACCTTGATTCATTCAGTGAGTCAAATCTCCTAATTTACAAATTTTGAAACGGCTCGAAGCTACGGCTCGAAGCTAGCTCGTAAGCTGTTCTGGTAACCATTGTGTGTCTGCCTGCAGTCTGGGCGATGCAACGCTGTAATTGAACTAATTGTTATAAACGCACTGGTAGTGATTACTTTGTTCTTCACACTGCGTAAAAGTACACAGCGTTCCAACAATATTATTGTCATATAGCCTCCTCAGGCTATATCATCTGTATGGCCTTTTTGTTTTCGTGCTGCAATTGACTGATGGACATTTTAATGCAACTCGACTATCGCCACCCCAAGTTCAGTATATTAATTTAGCTTTAAATTTATTGGAGTTTAATTTTTCCGCTTGGATCTCGATAGAATGCAACTCCACATGAAGATGTTGCTGATATTTCTTTCTCAAACCAAATCTGAATTCAGAACAAAAAATCTAGTTCTCGTTCCAGATATAGTATTCACAGTCTTTTAATCTTATCCAAGAGATGATCCAACATTTGAAATTCGTGAAAATCTTACGAACAGTCAGTGAGAACATTCAACTCTGAAACTTTCTTTTCGTTAAAGTTTTGACTGAAATCAACCCCTTGCTGAACTGCAGGTTGACCGATTTAAGTTTGACTTATACTGAGAATGTTCTTTCCTCACTCCACAATTGAAGAACAAAAGCTCAGGAGCCCCAACATCAGATCGGCTTTTCCACTTTCGAATATGTGAATTTGTGCCGTAATGCCCTTGTCTTTATGTCGCAGGTCTCAGCTACGGAGACTTTTGGACAATATGCATTTCACATATTACTTGAAGTCGAATTATTGCAAGTTCATGTTGATATATCATGATCGGTTCATGTGACCAGTGAATAAAACATGTTCGCTCAGATATCAGAAAAGGACAATAGCTTAGTAGCAAAATTAATACTTCTCTATTCCTGGAAACAGGTGATTGTACTGCTATGACATTCTCCATCGAATAACAATAAAAGGTGAGATAGGGAGCTTAGAATTCCGTTAACTATTCCAGAAAGAACGCAACAAACGAGGGGTCAAGACATCAAACCAAACCTGGCCCAGACCTGCGTGTCTATTTAGACTCCATAACATCATACCTCTGTATCTAGGCTTAAAGTTAATTTCCCTCGCTAATCCAGTCTGCCCTGGACTCAATCGTCAATCAGCGTGACCCAAGAGTCTTAAACTAGACAATGAAGACGCTGGTCGGGCCGCAAGGCATCTTTGCAGCAGCTCACCATGAGGGACACAGTACGGGATGTACTGAATATGTACATGTACAGAACAGAGTCAGTTGATGGCATCTTGCCAAGGTTGTCTTCCCAAAGGACAAACTCTCAAACGCGTGCAGCACTTATTTTATGGTTGTACTGCTTTGGCGAGCAAGAATCAGTCACGCACAATTGCTTCTATTTGTGGGACATGTTTAAATGCACGAGTTCGGACGAGGTTGTTTGAACTTCACCTGTCCGAGTTGAGGGCCTCATTTCAGATCGCGAAGCACATAGATCTGTCTGTCTCCGGGAGGTCTTTTTTTAGGCCGGTTTTTCGTCTGGAAGGTAGCCAAGCTCATCATCAGCGCAATATGTGCAGTGCTGTGTACCGTAGTGTAAGTACGAAGCAAATGAGCTACCTTCACGGCGCATCTGGAGCCTTGTAGTTTGCACTTGGCCATCTTCATGTGTTATTTCTATGGCTGCGCATGTTCGTACATCTCGTCGACGAGGACGTTGTGTTTCAGCACTCCGTGATTTCTTCTTGCTTGCTTCGAGTTTGCTGGAGAAATTTTCGTTTCAGGACCGGATTGTGACAAACTCGAATTCGAAGTTGGAGAGTTCATTTGATTAGATTCTCGGTGTTCCTGGGCATTTGATGTAAGACTCTTTCCGGCTTTGGCCTAAACCTGCAGTCCAGGTTATGCAAAATCAGAACTGCAAGTGGAGCTCGTGAGTGTTTCAGTTGATCAATTATAACAAGTTGGACGTGATTGAGGGTCGGTTTACCGGTCGAGCATTTCGGCAAGTGAGTTCAACTCATTTCATCTGGTACCAGCGTTGAATTGAGGATGGCATTCAAACTCCAGAGGCTTATTTTCTTCGATGTAATGAAATTTGCATCGTGTGAATGCGCAGGTTGCCGTACCAGCTCCAGCCATGTTTCGTCCAGTTGTTCCTCCCACCAATGCTCCAACTCCCGCAGCACCTTCATGGACTCGATTCACTGCCCCTTACGCAATGCCAGCTCGTGGCCCTCAGCCCACAGCTGGACCCATGCCTCATCGCATTGACTATCCCGACCTTTCACCAGCTAAACAACAACAGGTACATCTCTCTCTCTCTCTCTCTCTCTCTTGCGGACAAAGTGCATCATTAGACTATCATCTTAAACATGGCTTTTCGCCACTATAAACTTGCATGCATTTTGAAGTTAAAGTTGTTCAAAATGTGAATTTTGAGGAGTTTTTGACACAAAGATGGCAGAGTATTAGCTTTGGTTGTCGGAGACGGCTAATTGCGGCGGGCTGTATCCTGTGGATTATTCAGGCCCCGGAATTGACGATGCAAACATCAGGATGGGAAGCAACTATGCTTCAATGCGGGATGCTAGTGACCTTGATCGTATTGGTTTACCTCCTTTACATTTTTGTCGCCGAAATCAAAGCTATATACCAAAGATTCACCGAAAGCAGACAAGACACGGGAAAATTGAGTGCTAATGCTAAAAAGGAAAAGAAAGAGTTAGTGAAACCGACATCGGACTTAGTATAGTAAACCCACGGGAACAAACCTTTGATAGAACTAGCATTCGCGAGCACCTGGAGTAGAAAGAGCTGCAAAAGGTGGTTTGTATAGGAGAAGTGTAAAATAAGCACGTATCGGAAGACCAGAGGTACAGGCAAGATCGTGGATAGTGCCCAGATACTGCAAAAGAGCATGCCATAGACCTATCCATCTCAGAGAAAAGTCTCGTAGTGGGTCCTTGCTGTCGATGAAGCCTCCCGAGTTTGTCATTAGATAGAAGATTCACATTGTTCACGAGTTTGAACTTTCAAAGTCTTCAAACAGAGGCAGCCTTAGGCACCTCATAAACTTGGTAGTCCAGCGTGCATGAAAGAAGGCAGAAGTGTTCATATCCTTTGTATCTGTAAATGAGGGAGACTTGTTTGTCTCCTAGCTGCAGCAGATCATTTGGTCACCTTATATACAACTGAATCTAGTTCTCGCCCATTCACGTATTTCCACGTTCAGCTTTCAACTTGGATGGTAACTTAATGATCTATACGTGCTTGTAAATGTTATTGAGCAACTCACGACTTCCTATTCAATTGGGCAGAGTGACACTCATAGTCCTAGTACTTTTGCAATGAAAACTTTCACGGCCACAATTCGCACAGGAGAAGTTCATGAGTGACACGCTAATATTCATCCGAGTTTATCTTGATTGGATGCCTAGCTGCGTACCGAACCGAGTTACAAAAAATAATTGAAGCAATATCGTGTCGTTGGACTGTTGTCAGATTCCACCACTGTCAAAGAGTTTGCCTGAGACAGGTCATTTTACAGAATGGCGATCACTCCATTTTTAGCATTATGTGTCATCGCTCCTGAAGGACATCGTTGCATGATACCTGGACGTCAATCTTAGAAACAGGACAGAGGCGTCCAAGAATTCCCTAATAGCAATTGATCCCAGCTGGAACTCTGATATTGAAACCTCTTTGTGGAACTATAATAAAAATGTGTTTGTTCTCAATGATGGAGTCATTGACAAAGACTTCTTGAAACTGCGTAAAATAAGAATATAGTCAACCAGTCGGTCTGTGGAGATATGCATCGTACTGTGCAGGCAGGGAGATGTTCCACGCAGTCAACCAAAGAGCACAAGCAGCACATAAGCCAGTTCCTTCTCAGTAGCGAGTAGTTTGTTGTGTTGATCATACTCCACGTTCGAATACACAATTTCTTGCTTGCAAATCACGCGTATCGCGCAACAACTTCACTATTCCATTGACTGACGACATTCCTTCCACATTTTGACCTCTGACTGTTTTCAATAGCCATTTGTTCGATATGTAGCCGAATTAGCACTGTTTGCATTTAGAACCACCTTCCGCACACAGCCTTTGGTGAGATTCGCATATATTAAGTCAAACGAAATTGAAATGTACTTGTATGTCCAAATTTGCTGTGATCAAGATCAGATTGGATATAAGAGATTTGACAGAGGAAGGTGTCAAGTTGAAGATGGTCGACGTCCGTCTTGCGATGCATGGCTACAACGAATGTCTGAAGCACAGTCAGTCAATTAAGTATATATTATGAATCTATATTATGAATCTATATTATGAATTAAGTTATGATTCAGCGATAGCAGCTCTGGTAGTCATGAACAATAGTTTAAAAATACATTTGGGTCGGACATGCAGGTCATTTCTGAGTTCGTCTGTTCTTCAGCTGTCCACTTTGACTGTGCACGTGCAATTCATGTGCTTCTGCATTTTGGGTAGGCGATTCCATGTGGACGCTAAGCTGGCATACTTCATAACCTCTGTGCGCGTGATTTAGGCGTAATTAAGTTGTAGCGTGAACACTAGACATGCTCAAATCAGTAGTGGAGCAGATATCGCCTTGCTGCTTGGCGCAAGTCGTTTGCGTGATTTGCTCACTTCCTCGGCCATATTTGACCATATATAAGTGACGCTCTTATGCTCATTTCAGCAATCAGAGATCTTCCACCCCTCCAGCAACCACCAAGCTTCCTTCCTTGAGCAAGTCAGCTTGCACTTTGCATTCAAGGGAAATTATCGTAAGTACACGAGCAGGTATGATTCTTTTTGTTCTATGTATTTGTGGAATCCTCAAACTACCAAAATCTGTACTTCATTGCGTATTCCATACCACATTTCCAGACCACAATTGTAGCAGTGTGTGTTCCAACCTCGACAACAAGTAGAACTGCGCGTTCTAACACATGCATTGTGCAGCTAGTTTTGGACGCAACAATACACAAGGTCCCAGCAGTTGCAGCGGAAACCATGGCCACCCAGTTCCATACCATCGTTTGGCTTTCCATCACAATGATCTTCTGTGCACACGTGAATGCACAAGGTCCGGTGGCAGCACCAGGCACGGCACCTGTTGTGCCCCCTACCGTCCCGTCCTCAGCACCTCCTAGCGCTGCACCAACAACGGCATCTGCTCCTTTGGTCGCAACGCCATCGGTGACTCCATCATCTGTGCCTTCTGGAGCTCCTTCCACCACTCCAGACTCTGCTCCAGTGTCTGCAGCTAAGCTTTCTCCAGTGACCACGCCCACCTCTGCACCTGCCCCAGGACCGGCAACTGAGAAGGTAAGCACAACCTCGTCTTCCCCGTTTACTTCTCGTCCTTCACTTTGCTGGGGCATTTGGGTCGTGATCCATTGGATGGTATTTTGTTCAAGGGGAAATTGAGGAGGAGTTTGAGTGATCATGATTCCAAGAATGCGTCTCCTTTTAATCTAGTGTTTTCCCGATCAAGCTGATCCCTACACATGACTGAATTTTCAAAATCATTACAGAGCGCTTCAGTGACGATGATCGCAACCGGATGGAGGACCCTTGTTGTGGCTTCAGGTGTTTTGGTGGCGACTGTAATGTAGAGTCCAGGCAGTAGTGCTCATGTATCACATGCCAATATCCCGTTGGTGGCAAACATTATTAGACTTTCGATCCTCAGCAGTAGCAGAGGTAGAAGCACCAACAAACATCACAAGCAACACCAAATCCAACCCGAGGGTTCATCATCATCATCGAATTTCAAGACAATTTTCGAGCTAGTTCTTACATTATTGCTGGATGGAGGTAGAAAAACTATCCTTGGAATTACAGGGCTGCATAGTAAGTGGTGCACCTGTGGAGTCTTTGGAGTTCCATTAATCCAAGGCAAGATTTGCGTGTGCACTGGCTCAGAGTTCTAGCAGGACTCTGCATATAGAAGTTTTTAATCACTAGCTCCGGGCAGACTTCACCAACTTCTGTACCGAGGCACGAAAGGATTTTGTATGATATTCATTACAGGGCTTTGAATTCCCTGATGACTCTGGCTGCAACTTTTACACAAAAAGCACTCACGGATCAGACTCACATCATGTGGCTGTACGATACTGTGATTATTCTGAATTTCGAATGACATACGACATAAGGTGCTGATCTTTTGAAACTATCGTATGTTGTCTCTGATTAGAGTTCAAATTGTTAATCATCGGTCATAAGAAATTTCCCAGTTTATTTTGCTTCGAATTGAATGCGGACCAATTCAAAATCGAAATCTATGCGGATGGGTTATGTAGCCACAAACTAACCACCCGTTTGAACACTCTTGCAAGTTTACATCACCAGATACAGATGTGGTTGAAATTACTTGCACATTACAAGGGGGCTCTGTTCGTACCATCGTCACTAGTCCACATGCCGTGTTGTTGTGGAAAGAGATCAGCCTCGGTCAAATCATGATGAAATCCAGGAGATAGAACACTGTCATCTATTGAGCAAGAATCACAGCCATCAACTGCCGATTTGATGTACTATCGCAATTTTGTGCCATGTTCTTTCACGAAGTCATCTGATCGGGACTCCGATCTAGAGTCAAAACTCTGCCTCATACAAGAATCTCGAACAGTGGTAGTCCAAACTTCTAACAAAACACCCACATTCCAGTAGCAGGAGATGAAGTCTTGCCAGAGCGTCACTGATCAAGTTTGACATAACAGCAATTCATTTTGTGTATATAGGAAAAGCTGTGTCAAGATGAGCTTTAAGAGACCTTTTACTCCCTTATCCTCTACCTTTCGGCCTTATAAATCTTAAGGTCATTGATGTCTTTGTTCACAAAAGTTTTACGCTCGGAAAATTCCACGAACTTCTTGTTTTCAGAAGAACGACAGAGACCACAAATTCTTCCAAAAATTGTCTTGCGCAGAAAGTTACCAAGAGTCAACGATCAGCGTAGAGAATATCAACTGCCACTGCATGAAGTGCATCTTAATTTCAAAATTTCTTTCATCAGAGCATTCACTAAGTTTCAACTCCAATTTCTATGTGCAAACATGAACGTGTGATCATGATTCAACACAGTAGGTTATTGATCGAGCCTAATCAAGTGCATATCAAACTTAGATCATCCCAGTGGATCAGGACAGCTTGGCACGCAAGTGGGATCGTGGAAAACCAGAACTACAATTGGTTTCTGTGCTCTCATTTGAGTCTTCATTCTCCTGTCTCATTATTAAGGTCTCTGCTATTAACAGATGTTATCACCACAGAAATAACACCGTACTGAACGAGAATTCGGATGGCATGCTGACAAAATATTCTCTCAACAACACTATGAATCTGAATGGGCTGCATCTAATATTCAGCATTTTTAATCGAGCAGTATGAGTTTTACTTTCTTTCAGATTATATCTTTTGGGTCAGGTTCGATGGATCTGACTATCTCTTAAGAATGAAGTCGCGACTAAACGATCAATCACATGCTTGTAATAATTTTGGCCTGCTTATATCCGATCATGCTCTTGAAACCATTTCCCATCTGGAGTCAGTCCCACTCCTCGTAATTCAGCTGTCCCAGCTGAATGCTGGCGAGCAGTTGCTGTGATTCCAGGTACTACTATCTAGGATTCAAAAGCCACGATCAGTCACATGCTTGTAGAACTTTGGCCTGATTATCTGATCATGCCCTTGAAACCATTTTCCACCTGGAGTCAGTGCCACTCCTCGTAAATTAGCTGTCCTAGCTGCCTGCTGGCGTGCAGTTGCTGTGATTCCAGGTACTAGTATCTAGGACTCAATTCCAACGATCAATCACATGCTTGTAATACCTTTGTCCTAATTATTTGATCATGCTGTTGAAACCATTTCCCATCTTATGTCAGTCCCACTCTTTGTAAATTAGCTGTCCCAGCTGAATGCTGGCATGCAGTTGCTGTGATTCCAGGTACTACTGTCCAGGACTTACTTCCAAGTTGGCATACTCCATGGCTTACAATGCGCATGACCTTGAACAAAGGTGTGAGAGTAGTGCCTGGTCAGGTAGGCACTATTGACACGTCTGTCGCCTTGCTGTTCGGCGTGAAGTGCAAATCGTGCAAGCTTGGAAAGAAACATATCTGCTCGTCACCCACACTTGTATATAAGAAGCAAATTCATATCAACATCTCCACTCACAGACTTTCCTCATCTTCGCAGTCTACTTTCTCTACACGAAGAGTGAAATTTGCAACCAGAAAGATTGGGAAAGCATTCGCCTGCCTGATTTAGAAGATCGACCTTTGTCAAGTACTGTCTGGCCTCTTTATGTCAGTTATGATTTTATGTTTGCCTGCATTACGGACATTCTCTTCCAAAAGCTTCGGATCCTGAACCCCTTATAGCGATCTTTCTTTGCACTACAAGACAAATTGGTATTCTGTCCGCTGAGTACTGATCTAATTTGGTGATACTTTGATGCTTATGTTAACAGGGTCAATATCGTACAACTTCATCCAGTTCCGACAATCTCAGCTACTCCAATGGCTTCTCAGAGGATGTCATGCTTGTTCATTGCGCTGATTGCTGTGACTGTAGCCAGCGCACAAGCTCAATTCCAAGCACCATCACCGAGCTTCTTCTCTACACCACCAGTTGTGGCACCATCAGCTCCAGTGCCCGTTGTGGCTCCCCCTACTCCTACTGCTGCTATCCCAGCCGCTGCCACTACTCCTTCTTCGACTCCATCGGTTACTCCTTCTGCCCCGAAGGTCGCTCCCGTTGCTGCACCAGTCGCCGCTCTTACCACTACGACTGCACCCGCACCTGGCCCTGCCTCAGCTCAGGTAATGTTTTCCATGTCTTCGGTCGTTTGGTATATTAATATAATCCTTGGTGTGGAAAGATCTTCAGATTGAGTGTTGTCTTAATTGCAACTGCCGACAATTTTTGTTTTCTCAGAGATTTGATCATTGTTCTCTGGACAGTTCACAGTGTGAGTGAATTCAAAGTCCATGTGAGTGAAGATTGAGTACTTAGCGATTCATCTAGCATTACTCACAGAGCCTTCGTTTTCAGAACTCTGGAGCCACGGTCGGCATCTCCGGATGGACAACTCTGGTTCTTGCTTCAGGTCTCGTAGTGGCGGCTGTCTTCTAGGAGCTGAACACATGGATCGGTGAACCCATCGACAGGCAATTGTAGAACAAAGGAATGACAAGACTTGGGAGTTCAATTTTGAAGTTTAGCCTTTATCCAAGTGAACCCAGATTCAACTGCGTAGCTGGTCGCACAAACTAGTCAAATTAGTTGGAATTTACAGAAGACAATGATTTACTTAACCTAATTGTAGCATCTTCTCAGATGCAATAATGAAAGGACAGGCATAGCTTGGCATGTCCACTTGTGTCGCCGTCTTTTAATGCAGCTCAAGTTAAAAGATAACCCTTGTAACGCATTTTCCATTTCACACAGACCTTTGCCTGATGTGAAATGCGTATAATTGTTTAATGTAATTGATAGACTTATAGGACTTGGGCATTCAAGAGCTTATCCGCGGCTAAATATACGATAGTGAGAATCGGGGATCTAGGATTCTTGTACGTGTTAGTTTTCATCTTTAGGTTAGAAGAGACGAAGAGATAAGTGAGATTCACTAGCGCACATAAGCCGGTAATTGTATGATTTTGTTACTCCATTTGAAAGTTTGATATATAAATATCATTTCTGTATTATGTTCATACAATCGCATTTATTGTGAAATCTTAGAATCTGTCATTGTGTAAATGAAGAGTACTTTATATATTCAAGTTAAATATTAACAAAAATGATATATGAAAACAATTTATCCAGTATCTCCTAAAATTTCAATTTAGTTTCACTAAAATTCAATAGATTTGTTTAATTTTACTTACCTTCTTAAGAATCCAACATTCTCAGGATTTTGCAAGTATTTTGAGGAATGATTAATGATAAGATATAATATTGGTTGCACAATTCAAAATCTTATATATAAGATTCAATCTCTACTTTGAAATTAGAGACGTACTATGTGTCTAGTAGTAAACGCTAAATATGGATTAGAAGCGGAAGTTTTTTCTTTATGACTAGGTCAAAAAAGTGTGAACTAATTGCTAAAAGTCTTCCTCTAACATCAATCTAAATTGTCATAGAGAGTGAGGGGGATGATGACAAACCTCAAGCATGGAGACATAACGCAATTTCAACTGACTTGGGACAATCGAATGCTGGAATTGGTTTTCGTTCCATCCCTTCACAGGGCAACAGCAATATGCAGAATTAAGGATGCCCTACATTTACAGAGTCCGGAATCAACTTTCTCATGGCACTTATGACCAAAAATCTCTCCAGGACATGGATATGATATCATGCCATGTAATTATTCAGCAGAATCTTTTCTGCAGCAGCAAGCTGCTGGGAAGGTTTTCCTGAAAGAAATGTAAGCGAGCATATGTACATGCAGTTAAAGACCAATAACCTTCATGTTTGGACATCAATCACCTTTATCTCGCTTCTCAAAGTTAACCTTATACATCTTTCAAGTGCATCGATATTAACTCGAGTACTTTTTCCAATAAATGGTGGTTCAAGAAATTGGTGATAGAGTCCTACATGAAGAGATGCTTCGGAACATCGTTGGCAATACAGTGCAAGCGGTGGGTATGAACCACGAGGGAAAAGCAGACTGACTTATTCCATGTGTTAGTACAACCACCATTACCGCAACTGAGCAAGACAATCACTTCGCAGGCAGGGCAGGAGTGCAGTCGAAATCATACAAGTCCTGAAACCAGTAGCATATATGGTTCAATGCGCTATAGGAACTCTGCTATATTGCATACCAGATTACCAGATTAGAAATTGCGAACAAATATTTTCAAAGCGATTATAAAAGACGACGTATCGGCAATATGGTGGATATAGGAAATAAGCAGTTCAGTTCTGAAAACATTCTATTCTCCCATCATCGCCAGAGTTTTAATTTTTGGATAGATGGTTATCTTCTAGCAATCCAGTTGCAGTGTTTTATAACATGATGTCTACTGCTTAGTTCGGATCTAATCAGTATTAAGGTATGAAAATATCTACTTCACAGTTGTCCATTCGTGTAAATTGTTGCCGGTGTTGGGGGTGATCGACTTGGAGCAACGGCTCAGTTTGGCAAATATAAGATCACTCCGTACCACAATTTGACCAATGCAAAGAGGCTATATGCATCTAAGGCAGACCCCCTTCAAAGTGGCATTTGCCATTTTTGCCCCCTTTTCGTTAATTGTGGGATCCAACATTTCTGAAAAGTGTCATTTGTATTGACAAACTGTTGTGACAGTCTTGAAACCATAAGATATTGAGCTTATTTCACGAGTCAGGCAGGGTTCATTCTACGTTGTGGCTAACTTAGGTTCCGCCCTTATGTTATGTTCACCGGACATGTAAAGCCATCGATCTCTAACGAGAATTTAGAAAATTCCATGAACAGGCCACATGATTATTCATCGTGAGGATACTCAAAGCACAAAGCGCTAGTCAGTGACAAGAAATAAGTTAGAAGTACCTGATACTAACGATGAGGATATTAGACTTCAACCGAATAATGCCAATTTCCAAAATCCATGAACTGTATTACTCCTCAAAACCTCAACTGAAGATGAATGACATCACCTATCTTCAATCCTAGGATTCCAGAGAAACTCTGTTTCACAACCAGAATATTCTGGCATTAGAGTTTTAGATTAAGAGTGTAATACTATTTTCTTTGGAAAATTACATCCATGAAGCGATCATACTTTACTTCGATTTCTTCCCACGATAGACTCAAGAACACTAACCTTAAACAAGTCTCAAAGGTTTAATTATGGCATCGGTCCAATTTTGATTGTGGCAAAAGTGTCATTTTTTAATAAAATGCCACTTTTAAAGAAGTCTGATCCGAGAACACTGCTGGTATGTCAGGATAACTTATGCCTACTTTGTATGAACTTGACTGTATGCACTACTAATATTCCTACTACTATACCTCATGTAACCACAATGTTTACATCCTTCGTCAACTTCCCCCCTTCAGCATGGAGGCTAAAACTTTACATTTCTTAACAAGCAGAGAGAAATCTTATGGAGAAAACAGTTGTTTCAGTCAAGGGTCTTGTCGTCTCTACAGGTACTCTCTATTCTCGTCTCTTGAAGCTCGTATTCTTCGAATATTAATGAAAAAGCGCAGAGCAAAAATGGAAAATCAACACCAAAACTCACCTCTAATAACTTTCCCTAATCACAAAACCTTCGTACTGTACATTGGTTCTGTGGCCCCATCACTTCTCCGATTACAGTCTTTTGACTTGTTGACTCCGCCCTCAAGACCTTGAAGCCTCAACAGCCTCCCAAGGTTCTGCCCCAGAATCCGCGATGCCCCTTGCTATTCCGACGGGGTATCATGATTCGTTATACAGTGAGTTCTACCACTCGCCTTGCCTATCAACCGGTCTACGTTAGGACCATTCCATGACGACTTGTGAGAATCACATCTTCCTGCAAGTGCCAGCGAGCATCGAGTTGTGCCACGTGATGCCTTGTTCTGATCATTTGAATAGGCTCGAAGGTTGGTGTAGTTTCAGGTGAAAAAAATTACATTAATTTGAATTTATTACCACGAGAGAGCTTAAGCTATGCAGCAGATTCAGTACTACTGTATTCACAACCGTGATTCTCATTTTGATTTGAGACGTCTGAGGTCATAATAAACCGCCAGATATCGGCTTGTTTCAGAACTTCCGTTGGCAGCCAAATGAACAATTATATGAAGGCTTTCAATTGAATTCTTTCTTCCCTTCAGAAACCATTTCCAGTAGATATGTGAGGACTCCCTTGTCTAAAGTACAAGGGAGTACTTTAGACAAGGCCAGAGAAACACGATAAAAGAAATGTCGAAGTATCTCACAGAAGAATTTCGGAAGAACTTCCATTCGAGAGATCTTTCAGCTGAAGTTAAGACTAGAAGGCGTCATCGACTCGAGGTGAGCCCATGACAGAAGCAGAATCTTCAGTACACAGTATTTTATCATGTATGTAATGATGAGCTGCAGCTGATTTGGTAGACGAAGATCGCAGACCTGATTGTGCTGCTTCGACCTCGGGCGAGAACTTCAACACTCTTGCACTTGAACACACTGTACTATGTACACTTATTGGGTTCGAGACCATTGCATCTCATGAGTTAACCAATTCTGACAAGCAATTCTGACAAGCTCTGATATCAGTATACATTCGTCCTTTTTAGGCGTTAGAAGCAGGGGATCCTGTTTCTTATGTTGATGATCTGCGGACTGTAGCGGGGAACATGCCCACATCCATCAACAGTCCCCATACCATCTCAACCATCAAGAAGTACTAAAAAATACTGGGTAGTTTCAATTCCACAGTACTGTAGCCAGAAGTCTTCACAAAGCAAAGCTGACAATTCCTGGAACAATTTTGGCACTCTATGCTCGTGTAGAGGATTTTCATCAACGGGCAACCTTTTAAAATCTTGGACCAGCCAAGTTAAATTTCTTATTATAGTTGCCAAAACTTGAGATTCCTGACATCACATTATCGAGGGAGGCTCAAGATTTTCAACTGATATTCCTTCATTTTTGGAGTTTTTGACCCAAACTACAATTATAATCTTTTGCGAAGGATGAGAGAAATAAGCTTTAAAGACTGTTAGCATTTTTCGTATAATCTAGCATTTCTAGAATGGAAGAGAACGCATCGCGATATTCTGCCAGTCATCACTGAGAGCCAAAGTTTTTCATGGACTTGTGTATAATGAAACTTACAACCTCTGAATCCGCAGATCGTTCTGAAGACTCTCTTTAACGAGCTGATTACTCAATCAGGGCTCGTACACTTGTGTGCAGTAATAGGAGGTCTGAAGGCCTCATCACGGTAATACTTGAGATGAATGAAGCCCAACTTCAGAACGTAGCTGTGGCTCCGGAAGCTGTAGGGCTTGTCCAAGATCTCTTTTGCGATGGCAGAGATCATGGCCCACGTCCCAAGATATGTCAGTAAGAGTGCTGTAAGCATCTGTGTCGCCTTGCTGTTCTGCACCCAATCTGCCGAAAAATGCTTCATTCCTTCCTTGTTTCGGAGGAAATTATGGCTCCCTGACACCCTATAATAGATGCATCTTTCCACCATTCTACACATTCCATTTTCTTGCGCATTCACGAAATCCAACCACATCAACAACTGGAAGTGAAGGGTCTCACTTCCAATCTCAGCATTAAGGTACACTCTTATGTTTTCTACAGCTGCGAATTCCACATTTGCATACATCTCTCCAGTTTAGAAAGTCTAGTGTGATGAACGAGTCTATCAAGCAAGAGTATTCGAAGGGAATCAAGCATGTACATGTATTTTCACATGCAAGCTGGTAAAGGAAGTGTAGAGCGTTTCAGATTTCCCTTCTTCTCCATAGTGTCCAGCTTATTTACATTCCTTCTAGATCACAGTTGGCCGGCATGAATCTTTTCTTAGTCCTTAGGTTCTCGAGGATATACGATGTTCTTGCTTGTTCATTTCAACACTACCGTAGCGGCTTCGTGATGCTGTTTGGACGATATTAGACAAGCTCTGCCTTAAGGTTCAGATGAAAAGCAGACCTTCTAGCGTTCGTCGATTGTCAGGATTTTTCAGTGCCCTGGTAATATTGAGGACGATCTCCTTGTGCAGATGCTGATGTGACGAAGCCTTTGTTTGACCCGCAGGACGAGCGACTGCTTAACTTCACTAATATCAGCTTAATCAGTTCAGATATCGAAGTACGGTAGCGAAGATGGCTCAGCAGAGGATTGGATCCTTCCTAGTCATGGCAATGATTCTCTGCACTCAAGCGAGTGCCCAAACCTTCGGTCCAGTAGCAGCACCTTCCCCAGGTGTCACTGCACCAGTCTCAGCACCTTCTGCAGTCCCGACCGTTGCCCCCACGGTCGTGCCCACTCCCATCGCCGCCCCAGTATCAGCCCCGATGGTGCCACCGCCAACTGTTGCCCCCGTTACTGCACCTGCAGTGGCACCCGTGGTCGCCCCCGTCGTCGCACCAGTTGCTTCCACCCCTGCAGTAGCACCTGTAGTAGCACCTGTGGTTGCACCAACTGTTGCCCCCACCCCCGCCTCAGTGCTACCACCCGCCTCTACATTCGCTCCAGGACCTGGACCAGTGGAGGCCCCAAATGTAAGAACCACTTTTGCTGTCTCTGCACTCACTTCACGGTGGATTTGATTTTGATTTTGATTTTGATCTCTGTCGATTCGAGTCGTCTGGACCTCGTCACATTCAGTGGAATGTTCGAGGACCTCCGACGTAGAGCTGCTAGTTTCATGAAAGCTTGTGTTCTTCTACTTCTACTTCTACCTGAGCTAACGAAGTGGCTGGCTGGCTGTCTATGAATTGTGATATCAGAGCGCTGGAGTGACGGTTGGTTCCGCTGGCTGGAGAACACTGGCTATGGCTTCGGGTGTCGCTTTGGTCGCTGCTGCGTTATAAACTCGCATGATGGTGTAGCAGAATGGGTAGTCTGAACGTAGTTTAGCGACTCCCACGTAATAAGTCCTAGCTTTAGACCGTTCAATTCATGGAGCTAGATAGGCTCTCGACATTTTGATTGCGGGTGCGCGTTTCGAGATTCTCAACTCGTTCTGCATCTTACCAGAAGAAGAGATAGAGGCTTCGAACCTTCTGGCAGAGAAAGCGCTCGAGCAAAACAAAAGTTTTGATATGTACTCATGATCAATCATGGATTGTTCATAGCTTACCCCTGGTCCATTCCTTCCTGCAGGCCGGGCGAGATTTCAATAACAAAACGAATATGAATTTTGAATTCTCCTTTTGCGCACATCGTTTTCTGCACCTTTTGCTCATAACATTTACACAATCGACACATTCTTCACTATGAGGGAAAAGTCTAAATATTGCAAAAATTTAATGAGCCCAGAGCAAAGTGAAATCCAGGTCAAAATTTTCTCTTGCTTCTTTTGTCTTGGGTTAAAGCTTCGTTTAGATATTAAAATGAGTGTGGTTTAGGAGAGAAAGGTGTTGTAAAACTGAATGAAATGGGGAAATATGTATAGATACTGTGAAGACTAAGTGGTCTGCATACTACATGACTACATAAAGAATCATCACCTCAAGTGAGTTCACGAGTCAATGCAACATCATTGACTCTATGTCTAAGTCAATGAATAGTCATAGAATAGTATACACAATATCCGAGTATTTTTTTTCAATATCCTAGTCGAAGAAAAAATTAGTATAGTTTTCCCATGCTTTAACAAACGTCATTTTATGGTCATTTTTATGGTCATTTTTAAAGTGTGGTCATTTTTATAAAACGAAACGGATAGTCAAAAAATCCAAAATTGATTTTTAATATTATAATGTGTGTCTAATGTGGTTAAAATGCATCACAATGTGTGTTTGATACTTTAAGCAAGACATTATAGCTTTTCACACACAAAATTAAAGACATAGAATATGATGGAACATGATTGGTAATTATGCTCCCATATTATTTCAACTTCAAATAACGTAATGGATTCATGAATGAAATTTCATATTGAGAGAAGATAGAAAATTTTTAACACAGAATAATTTCTGGAACTAATCAGTTACAACTAATAACTTCTACGTTTGTAATCTAATTTAAAGTCCATGGATTTGATGTGATATTCAATTTCCAAACATTAACATAAGTAAAAACATATAAATTAGGTACAGATGTAAACTAACAATTTCTACCAGTGCAGCTTTTGTCATCCAAAATTTTGAGAGAAAGCGTTCAAGTATTTACGTTGTATTCTCTGCAAATGAGATATGTAATCATCCATACTCTATAAATATTATATAAGAATGATCCAAGATAGTTGAGCATTTTTTAATTTATTGAATATATATGTTGCCATGTTTGTTATTTGTATGCTTGTAAAAATTTAATTTTTCAATTATTGAGATTGAAATGAATCAGAAATAATTGAATGGTTGAGAATTTTATATCGAGACATGCATCCACTGATCATTTACATCTATTGCAACAATAATGCCACATACTTTCTTCTTATGAAAGATTTATGATAATGTTGTTTGGAAATTTTACTTCTAGTTTAATCGTTTTTAAGTAACTATCTTGTACAGAATCAATGTAATGGTTGAAGTAAGAGCTTAACATAATAGCCACAAAGTATAAAATTTTCTATACTTGGTTAAACCTTCTACTGATTACAAGACTGAATGCCAAGTTTCAATTCACAGACAAGGGTATGGTTTATAACATAAAAAAATAAGGAAAAAGGAGTATGATATGAATTGAGTAGGTCATAAAAGAATGAAAATAAAACTTTTTATGGGCTAGGTCTGAAATATAATCGAGGTAAAAAATGTCTCTTGTAACACCTAAAATACCTTGACCAAACAATCTACAAACAACGAGAATATTATTTGGATGATTGGTCTCACATAAATTATTTATAATTTTGTCTTTTAGAGCGATTAAAATGATCTTTCTAAATAAGAATTTATAATAAGCTGAATCGAGTGATTACACTACTCCAAAAACATGCAAAAGCCGATGCTCGCAACGAATATAACATGAAGGCTAGAAGAAGAGGAAGGTGAGCAACTCTGTTCTTGAAGATGTTGAATGTTGCCACTCCACTAGTCTTCTACTCAAGAGGATGAGGGCCTATACCTGTTTCATGTATGCGAAAGTGAAGCAAGAGACTTAAAAGAAGTATATACTTGTCCAATACATATAAGACTTCAAGACATTAATGTTTCCTAGCATCATACCATAAATCATATCCTTAGTAATTTCATAAATAGTTATATCTAGGAGACAAATGAACTAAGGGTCAACTATATGAGCTACACTCAAATTTGTCTACAATATTTGTTATAGGATTATTACGGCTAAGAAATAACCTCATCTTTCCAAAGACTGGCTTGTGCAAAAGGGTAAAGGGAATTGATCCACATGCATAAAAAATTGTCTTCCCAAGATGCTATGAATCTCTACATCGCCATGAACCTCGAAGGCGGTTGCTCCAACGTCAAAGTGAGTCATGACAAAACATTATCTCATACATGACAAAACATTATCATGACGAAAGATTATCTCATACTTTGAATCTGGAACCATCACACTGAACACGAATTCTGCATTGGATGTGATCACTCCTCTAGACAGCCTACGTTTCGAAAAGGGCACATGCCACCCTCCTCTCCCTCCTCTCCCTCGTGGCACGGGGGTGACCTCGGAAGACGTTGGATGAAAGAATAGGACACGAGGGCAAATCGTGGAACTTACTTGGCAATCACATTTGCTTCAATCTTTTGGGTTTGACGCATCGTCCTTCATGCTCATGCTTCACAAGTGCGTGAAGAAAGGCGCCAACTGGCAACATCTGATGAAGCAAAGTCGAAGTCGATTTCCTGGTAAGCTCGCCATCTTCAACCAACCGTGGGTAGCCAGACTTCGCCAATACACGGGAGCTTCCTCGAGCCAAACCAAGCCCAGCCCAGCCCAAGCGTAGAAAAAAACACTTTTGATCTAAATTTATCATGATGAATATTTGGTCATGATCAAAGCTTCCGGTCGGACCAGACCCGGTACAAGTGCCCGAATTACAGGGTTGAAAATGGAAGTGTGAAGCCCCTGTGCATCTGATCTCGAGGCATGGTTTGCTCCTCGATCACAAGGGGCCATGTTTGAATGAGTAGGTCTGAGCTAGCCGTCTTCCACAACCGGGAACGATGGCCCCCACCCCACCGAAATCTGCTGTGGACCCACGTGCAGCTCTTACAGCAGTGCATTCATACATACAGCCAAGGTGCTTAGTTCTCGTCGATTCCCATCTTGATCCCATCTCCTAGCTCCCATCTGGATCTCTCGTGATCCCGGGTTGCAAATCGAGGGACGAGGAACTGCATTACAGTTCTACTTGGAGCGCACATGTGAAGGTTTCACGTTCCGCGGATTTACAGCTTTGATGACACTGCTCTCGCCGCGGAAAGGGAGGAAAAAGTCGCTCCAATCTTGCACATTGCTCAAGGTCACAGTGTGCTACCTTCAAGGGAAGGAGGGAGGGAGGGAGGGAGAGGGCGAGGCCTGATTTTCAAACTCCTCCCCTGAAGGGAGGGATTCTTCACTCGCAGTCATTCTATGCAGGATTCTGAGAGGCGACGTGATTGGCAAGAATGGCTAAATATATAGACAAGGGTGGTTGCATGTGGGCGCCATACAAACACGGCTGGAACTGTTTCGCCTCAGGTTGTGCTCCAAGTTAACTATGCGAGCACAGTCTACTGCGTAGCTGGCATGTATCATGGCAGCCACTGCTCCTGCTAGCTCCCACGATCCAAGACATGTCAGGCTGCACATGATATGGCACCTCTGTCGCCTTGCTGTGGCGCCGTGGGCATCTTTGATTATTCCTCGGTGAGATTCACAGAAAGCTGAAACTCTGACATCCTATAAGAAGTGCCATTGCCTTGTAGAAACTCCACACAGAGATCTTTCCTTCACTCAGCCACTAGCAAGCAACTACCATCAGAACGCTTGCAAGGAAAGATCTCGATAATCTCAGACTTTAGACTAATTGCATTCTGCGAACGAACATAGATTAGACTATCGACCAACGCACTCAGATCCACTTTAGTACACGCCCAAAGCAGTCAAGCTACTCTTCGAAGCAGCTTTTCAGCTCCTCTCTCTTTCTTTTACAGGTACGGGATTTTGCTCGTCAGTCTGTCTGTCCGGTGGTCCATGCACAGTCACTCCCTCCCCTCCGCTGTTGGTTTTCTGTGATTGCCTCTTAAATGAGATCGGACCTTTTGTACTTATAGCCGTCATCATTCGTCTCACCACGCAGCTAACTTTTGCCTGACCCTTGCAGTCTGAATCTTAACTGAAACTGAAACTGAATCGCTAGCTTCTGCGAGGTTCGATGTAGCATAATGTGATTCATGCTTTTAGACTTCAGTGTATATTTCTACCATCATTAGCAACCTTTTTCTCTGTTTGATTTGATTGAGCCCTGTTCCAAGCGTGTATTAGTTAGGCTATTGCGAGAAGTGCAGAGACCAACTCTTTAGCTAGATCGCTTTGAGTGCCATCTCCAAGTGTAGCCCTGGAAAAGAAATGACTAGTCTGGGGGCTCGTCGAGAATAATTTTGCTGAGATTCTTAATCGTCGTTTCTGTGACTGCAGCAGCTACCCACAATGGCTTACCAAAAGGTTGCAGCTTTCATCGTTCTCGCCATGGTCATGATCACTGAAGTGAGCGCACAAGGACCTCTTCCAGGACCTTTCCCAGGTCCTTCTTCAGTTCCAGTGGTCGCTCCCGCCGTAGCACCGGCTGCCGTCCCCGTCGTAGCACCCGTGGTCGCCCCAGTTGTTGCCCCAGTGGTTGCTCCAGTGACTGCCCCTGTGACCGCTCCCATCGTTGCTCCCATCGTTGCCCCCGTTTCTTCTCCCCCTGCCGTGACTCCATCCACCGTTCCCGTGGTCGCACCAGCCCCTGCCTCGAAGCTTGCACCCTCTGTCTCCCCCATCGCGAGCGCTCCGGGTCCCTCGGTGGCAGACGTGAGTACATTTTCTTTCCCTTGGACTTGCTGAATGTAGTCGGATTCAGAGTGCAATTCTCCGAAGATCACTAATGCGGTTCACTTAAGCTTTCACGTACACATTACGGTTCATCTTTTCATATGGTTTGATTCAGTGAGAGTGAGGAGATCTGCTTAATGCTTGTGGGTGCGCTTTGAGTTTGACAGATCAATTGTCTTTTTTTGTGATACTCAGAGCGCTGCACCAAGCATTTCCGGATGGAGGATTCTTGCTCTTGCCTCAGGTTTGGTCGTGGCTGCCGCTTTCTAAGCTGGATGGGGTACGTCGAGAGAACAAATCAAAGTCTTGCAGCACTCAGGTAGCATCGTGGAGCTAAGATCGAAGGGTAAAATATACCTTCTGTCTTACATTCGAGAGGATACCATAGCGAAGGAGCAAAGCAAATTTTCTTGTATACAACATTGTGGAGGCCAAGTTCTGAAGTGGTTTACATGAATTAAATTTGACTCTTAGTATGGAGTTCGAAGATTCTTTAGTCAGCAGGAGTTAAAGTCTCAGTAGGTCCTGCTGAATAACATCACTTATTTGTTCGTTTGCAAGCTGAACTCGCAGAGTATCAGGAAAAGAAAATACAGAACTTGCAACCTACAGCATCAATCAATCAGATGCAATAAATTCATAGATAGAACTTAAGCGGATCACATTGACCTCGCAGTCTCTTACTCATTGCCTCGTACGAGGTCTATCAGTAATGTGGACAAGAACTACAGAGAATCACAATAGCTTTCAGGTGCTTTTTAACCCGGTCTCGAATTTGACCGAGGTACTCAATACTTGTGAAAACGTCCCAATTTCAATACCAAGTACATATTACGTTGGTTCATCTTACGTCGAGAGGAATTGCGCTTCGTTCACACAGTATCGAGTCTGCAATCGCATATGTCAATTTGTCGGTACATGGGGTGGAGTACGTTCAGAGCATCTTGAAGTGCTGATTTGTAAAAAATCTGAAATGTACCCACGTACTGCCTTGTAAGAAAGCTGCAGTTTGCACGCGTCAATTTCTCGATGTCGTATTAGATTATTCATCATGATGGTTAAACGTTAACAGAGGCTCAGGTTTCATAGGCCATATGTTTCCCATATGATCTCTGATTATGTCCTTCACTCTAATCGGTAGGCTAGTATCGGGCTCCCATACATCCCCTGCTCTGCTGTACTTTCCTCCTGGAAGTAACAATCATTTCATACTGCTGATTGATTTTCCATCTGCATTTCAAGCTGCTGAGATGTACAGAGACTCTTGCTGCTGTCAATTGCCTTAGATCACGAGCGAGAAGTACTCTTCTGACACGAGCCTTTCCTCAAGCCTGCCCGACCTGCCTGCCTGTCTTACTTGAACTTGAGCCCGCTGATAGCCAGCCCCAGCTCGCTTTCGTACGATCGAGTGTCTTGAGCAGTGATAGCAATGTTCTGCAGTGTGCTCTTGTTCCCACACCTCGCCCATCATGGATTCTGCAGTATCATCGACCTTCGGAATAAATACGACCACTGTGAAAAAACGTCCACCCTCATGTTCGGTGCCCACTCCCCGTCCTATAGATCCGTTGCACCCTTCAGATCGTTGCTCCGATCTGTCAGTCCAGTAGTACCTTTCCGAAGAACACCGTTTATCTTGGATTCTTCGTGTGTCTCAGACTGCGACCTTGGATCTGTTGATGGTGTCAGGACCATCGTCCCCAAACAGGTACCCGTTGGGAGACGTAGTTACCGTCGTCGTCGTCGTCGTCATTCTTGTCACAGATGAGCTCACACTCCCACGGGTTGCTTTCGTGCGTGTCCACGGATATGTCGTTGGTATTTGCTGTCGAAATCAACGAGTTCACTCTGTAGGTCAAAGGTATCTATCTCTCATCCGTTTGAATGGCTCCAGCTGGGCCTGCGATGGCGCATGGTAAAATCGTCATCGGGGGAAGATCTCGCTTCAACTGCCGACTTTCCCAAGCTGATGACAGAGGGAAAAGTGCCCGGGTAAAATCCGCCCGTGCTCGAAGTGGGAGTAGAAGTGAGATTTCAGCCTCTTTACAGAAGCTGATACCAATTTTTGGGGGCAGGCTAGCAGCAGCAGATCGGGAGGCGGGATTTGCCCTTCTCGAGCTTCTTTTGGAGGTTCTGATCGTCTGCCAGATCCTCGTAGTCTTCCAAGCCAATCCGAGTTCGGGCAATCTCAGAATTCGGAGCGCATTTGGAAGTTTGTGCTGTATTCCGCCTGGCTTGGGGTCTCAGTCATCTGACACCTCTCGGCCATCATCTTTTAGTTTGTCCTAAAAATGACTATTTAAACCCTGCGGCTGGTGGCAGGGGTATTTATTGGGTTGTCGCGGGTCGAGCTCAGTTATTCGCCCCCGTCCAGCTGCTCCAGCACAGCCTGCCCTCTTACACGGAATTCACCTCGCTGCGTTCCTTTCCCCACTCACATTGGCCCTCCCTCCATTTGGGCTGGTCCCATTCCCAACCTGGAGCCCGCTGTGATCGTTTCTCCCTCATCAAGTCATTGAAGATGGTTGCATTTCACTCTCCAAAGCACCTCCACTTTCCCTTTTGTGTACGATCCTTCCATGGTCGAGGTAGCCTTCCTCCTCCTCTTCATTTACTACACGCTTAGTAGTGTACTGTACTGCTGTACGAATTCCTCCTACTGGAGTCACGTTGGCCCTCACTCGCTCCCTTTCCTCCATGGTCGGTCCCATCGCCGTTCTTGAGGCACTGTGAGCGTTTTCTCTCTGATCAATTCCGTGAGAGGAGCTGTACTTTATTCCCATGGCCTATGCTTTCGCTTTTCCATAGCTCATCGATCCATATCGAGGTCGCATTCCTCTTCCTCCACTGCGACTCCATCCAGCATTTTGACTACTGCTTGCCCTGGGATTGTCTGTATGTGCCATCCATAGAATGCTTCTTCTTCATACTGGCTTCTTTTCTCACTGATTGGGTTGGTTTTTGTCCATCCATGATCTCCACGCTCGCATGCGTTGCAACATGGTTTGACCCAAAAGACCATCGGGATTGTGATAGCCTTGGAGCTGCCTAAAAAGGCAAGGCAAAAGGCCCCTTCAGCTTTGATTTTCTCGTTGGGAATCCTTGCTGAATCGTTCCCAATACTCCTCGGGTCGTGAAATTGGAGAACTTTGCTTCTCATAGTACTCAGGCAAGGCATGGAGGGCGGCCAGCATGGGAGAAGATTCGACGCATGGGAAACGGAGGGGTGGGTATCTCGTATCACTGCACCTCGTTCCAAGGAAACCGAGCTGCAGGACGACATCACGAAGCTTGAGAATCATAATAATGGTGTGAAGGGTATAAATATATTCCGTCCTAGTATGGCATTCTTAGTAGCTACAGTCCACCAAACCCACCGCCCTCGCCACCGGTTGGGGGATCTCCTTATTACGACAAGGAACCTGTGGCCTATGCGTGTGAGTTATAAGTGCATGAGGGAGAGCTACAGCCGTCTGAATTCAAAGCCAGCCTTAGGAGAATCACATCATCCTGCAAAGCTTTTACAGCGATTCGCGTCGAGACATCGCATCGGTTCGCTCCTTCGTTTGCTCGCTCTTTGTCTCTTGCTTGCTCATCACATCCTTTTTGCCTTTGTGTTCGAAGAGCAAAAGTACATCACTTATTCGTTTCAGCACGTGTACTGTCCAATCCAAACAGTGCGTGCTTTCGAGGACAATACATTATTATGACGTCATGCATTCTTCGAGGTTATGAATACAGTGTGTAGTGCAGTCGTAGGGTCCCTTGTACTTCTGCATAGAATTCATTAGCCTCATTCCCTTACCTCTTGATTCATAAGAGCTCGTACTAGTAGTGCTCTACAACGTTTTCTCCAGTAGGTGCCGTTCAGTATCGACGGAACATTATTCTCGATTGATGTAGTCGATTCCCCTTAGGTTCTATCATGCTCGAATGATCATTGTCCCTCCGTTATCATCAGCCGAACTACGACACCCACTCATCCCAACCTTCGATACCTTGCCAAAATAAACCATGTGAATGTAGCCCATACAAAATAACTTTTACATGAAGATGGAAGTGAAACGACCGACTCTGCCTTACAATGCACCCTGTATCAAATAAAATGTAGTACACATAAGCCTAATGGTAGAAGCTCCTGAAATATATGAGGATTTGGTCAGTGCCAAAAAGAAGAAAAAAAAGGTTGTCACTATCAACTTTTATACCCCGATGAAATTAGGTTGATGTTCGAGCTAAAGTCTCCATTTCGTGTGGTGAATTTATCTTTCTAAAGTTAGTGAAAGTGAAGGTGTAGGTTCAAGCACTTCGACAAAACCAGTTATCAAGTTTGAAGATGACATTTGCGCCTTTTACACCTACACATCGTTTAAAGCGTTGAAATCTGGTCTTAGAATGGATCTACTCGGTTGTCAAGCACATCTTTATGGTTGACAATTGGGTCTCGCCCTGTTGGAATCTCATCATCTCATCATCTCATCATCGTTTCTTCACAAACACATTTCTCCTTGTCTCGGCTTCTCATCCAAGCTTGCTCGAGTATGACCAATTCCAGTCGCGGTGACCTTGACTGGGGACCGTCCCCACCCATAGACTCCAGACCACACGCATCATCATGATGAGGAGCCGATCCACAGAGTTACTCCGACTCAGTATCACTCGCCACAAAGGCGGTCCGAGTCGGTCCAAGTCATGCTCTGTCTTAAGTCTTAACTCGTTGCGTAAAGCAAAGTGGTGTGTACTACCACATGTACTGACAAGACCATGTACCTCAACTGCTTCTCGAATCTCGGGAGAATAATCAAGTGACAAGCCCGTTTAGACGAGGAGAGCACTGGACTGGACTCGCTCCCAAATTGACAACTGGGGGGGCGATGGTCACTGGGTACAAGGAGCCAGTAGACCAAGAAATAAGGACGTTAGGGAAAGGAGGGGAGGGTGGGGGGGAGTGTTACCGTTGCGGGGAGGGGGGCGAAGGGTTAATGGCGACGGCAGGTGCGATGGTCTGTGTGGTGATGTTATTTGCCGAGAGTACTGCAAAGCGTGGGCGGAAAGTGGAAGAACAACTAAAACGGCATGTAAATGACAATGATAGGTACTTGAATCCGATGTGGAAGGGGAGCTGTACATGTGATGGGCATCGGATGCTGTGCTGCGGTGCAGGCTCATGCTCATCCTGCGAGCTGGCATGCATGATGGAGCAGGGGGCATAAATCTACGATCTAGGCCTAGCTTAGCTTTCAGGCTACAGCGCTTTCAGCGTAATGTCAGGACTCAGAACTCAGACTCAGAGCCAGTCACTGTTTGGGCTTCCCTGTCTGTCACCTTGCTGTATTTCTCTGAGGCGTGAGTGAAGCCTTTCTTTACTCCCAGTGTTTCAGGAGGCTGTTGGGGAGCGAACAGCAGCCTATATCAGCACCATTCGGATGTCGGAGGTCATCACTCAGAGATCAATCCCGAACCTCAACACGGACCCCGAGCTCAACATCGCTCACTAGACGAGGAGTCCAGGCTCGTTGGGTGAGGTGAGGGAGCGTGTCACTGACAGGGTAGACTGTCAAATCAAGGACCACGACGCGATCTATCAATCTATTCAGCTTGGAAATTCGGCTAAGGTAACCCATCCCCCCGGACCCTTGCACACTTTGCTTCGAGTCAAGTGCTGTCACGCCGAAGGTTGATGTTCGTTCGATCAGTTCTAGAAGGAGTGTGCACTTCAGCTCGGGCTACCATTTCTTTTGAGCCTTTTAGTATGTCTGCACTGGCAGAGTAGCAAGCTGCACGTGATGTACATTTCGCCAAGTTCAGATCCCAGCATTGGGCCTCCATCCATCGGTTAGCCCGTTGCACAGAATTTCGAGTTCTATGCTCTGCGTTTGGACTCTGCTGCACTCATTCTACTTATATACACTTTCGTGACGAGCTGAATTGGTTCGGCATTATCCGCATTGTCTGCCGGACGGACGCTTCGCATTAAAAATAAATTGTAAATGATTGCCCGAATTCAGGTTTGATGATTCAGTGTATGTATAGGTTGCATCCCACATTGTACAATGAAGTCACAGAAATTATGAACTGCTGAGCTAATTCTGAGTTTTTCGTCGCTTGTGCAGCCAAAATGGCGTTCATGAAGCTGGGGACGGCGTTTTTTGTCTTCGTAATGCTGGTGTCTCAAGTTAGCGCGCAAGGACCAGCGCCCGCACCATCGTCAGGCGGTCTGGAGCCAGCTGCAGCTCCGACTCTCACGCCCGTCGTTGCGCCCATCGCCTCCCCTCCTTCTCCTCCAGCGGCGCCAGTCGTGGCTCCTGTGGTCGCCCCAGTGGTTGCCCCAGTGGTTGCCCCCGTCGTCGCTCCGGTGGTTGCTCCCGTCGTGGCTCCGGTCGTTGCCCCGGTAGTTGCTCCCGTCGTGGCTCCGGTGGTCGCCCCAGTCGTCGCTCCGGTCGTCGCTCCAGTGGTGGCGCCCGTCGTTGCTCCGGTGCTCGCTCCCGTCGTTGCCCCGGTGGTCGCTCCCGTCGTTGCCCCAGTGGTCGCTCCCGTCGTTGCTCCCGTTGTGGCTCCCGTAGTTGCCCCGGTGGTGGCTCCTGTCGTTGCTCCGGTGGTCGCCCCCGTGGTCGCTCCGGTCGTGGCGCCCGTCGTAGCACCCGTTGTGGCGCCCGTCGTCGCCCCTGTTCTGGCACCAACTCCCCCTCCCGCAGTGCCCCCTCCAACTGCCGTCCCAGTACCTGCCCCTGTCGTCGCGCCAGTCTCTTCTCCCCCCGCCCCACCACCGGTGGAGGAGGTTCCCGCTGTCTTGGCGCCGGCAGAAGCACCCGATTCTCCCGGGGTACGTTTGGAAACACTACTGCTAGTGCCTCGATTTCTGCGCTTGGTGGATGATTCAAAGTTTTATGTTTCTGCTTTTGTTGATTGTATTGTAGGATGGAGTGGAATGGAATGGAATGGAATTGTAAGGTGCATCGAATGCCGATGACTGATTCTGTGTTGATCATCTGTGGTTTGGTTTACCAGAACGATGGAGTTCAGATCAGCGCCGCCGGATGGAGAACGATGGTGCTCGCTTCCGGTCTCGTGGCGATCTTGGCTTTCTAGATCAGGGAATTTGTTATTTGGACATCAACCTCTAACTGCATCGAATTGAGAGCAGCAGGAGTAACTTCATCTGAGGCACAATGTAGACGCGATTGACTGCCCAAGCTCGGTCCAGAATTTGTTTGTTATAGACAGGAGGGTCAAGACCCTTAACATATTCCACAGTAGCTTAGCTTGGCCCGTCCTTCTGAAATTTCACATTTGTCCGCTGTTTTTTCGATCAGTTGCAAATTTAAGCTGAACATTCTATCAGCCAGAACCTGTAATTGTAGGCACCTTGAGTCTCAAGCCGAGGTGCAATAATATAGGCTGGGGAAGGAACGCCTTGCAGATCATAGGTACATATTACATCATGCGAGCTGCACTTCCATGCAGAGCCAATCAGATATTTTGACACGAAGATTGCTTTAGAGATCAGCTGATTCCCTGTGATACAAAAGTCATGCTGAAGGCTTCCAAGATTGCTACCAAATTTATCAGACATTCTTCCAATAACAGAAAAAAAACACGTTCATCGTGACAGATTTGTTTTCTGCCCATTTTCATCTTTATACTGTATCGTTGAATGGAAGAATTGTTGTGAATTCACCGTGGATCGAGTTTTGAGTTTTATAACCGTAATGAATATTCGTAGAATGAGATGGTATGTCTGTGGAGATGCTAATCTGCACTCTTAATTCTTGCCTTCTAGTAAACTTACAGTTTTAGCAGTAGCTCCTTCGGGTAATCAACTGGTTTCCTCGCATTAAAATGATTGAAATCAGATCCCCTGCTATCACTGTATATGGATAGAGACGAAGAAAAGATAGCATTTGATTGTGGTTCCATGCTACCATGCCAGCTTTAATTTATTACCTATTTGTGATGAGGACATAATGTTATTACGAATATATAAGAGAATGAAGGTCACAGTTGGGGAGGCATAAAATAAGAATCTTCATAGCATAGATGCAATTGGTGCTATGATACGAATATTTTAGTGGTCAGGATGATGACTAGAGCGACTCTAGAGTGTGAAAGTTGTGTATAGTCGCGTAGATGCTCTGTTAAAGAGCATTTGTTGATGAGCTCTGTGTTGTCGGTGATGGAAGGTCACTTCTGTGGATCAGCTTGAGCATCAGAGCTCGATTTCTTGGTGGACGTACGTACCTCGAGGCACGAAATCTATCTTACACTGCGATTTTGGGTAGATATGACCGGTTATGTAAAATCTGTTAGTGTGAATCGATGTGGAGCTGCTGCGCTTTTCCTTTCCATGAGCATACTTTCGCGGTATTTTATCCAGCACTCATCATCAGAGCACGGCCTTTATATAACCATTTCAGCAATTTTATCACTCTTTTTTTCATGAATGTAGTACACACACGGCTGACAACGCGTGTAGATCACAAGTCTCACGTGCAGCTGCACGAAAATCCGCGTCACATCACTTTTAACTCACTTTTTACGTTACTCCCGCCGCATCTGATAAGTTGAGCCAGATGATGAGCCTTCTTTCCTTCTCTTGACTCGTGAAAAAGCTCGTGTGCATTTTTGTAGCAACTCGACGTGCGTTCTCTCTACATGCCTTCGAGTTGCCACAAAATTGGTCTCCAGAACATGCTCGGAAGGCCACCTACTCGAGTCAGAACGCTTTTGCATGAAGTATGTGGTTACAAAGAGCCTCCAAAAGTAGTACAATATTTTGTCATAGCGTCACAATTGACCATCAAACAATATCTATTAAGTACACTCAAAACTCGAGCTGTCGACATGCTTGAGCACTTTTGGACCCGAGACTGAACAGAAGACAGGAGGACCCACTTCCTGCAGTTCTGTCATTTCCGCAACTCATTGCAAAGCAGTTGGAAGCAAGCACTTTGTCGATCTAGGACCGAGCAGTCCAACAACTTCCCGTGCCAGCTCTCGTGACACAGCAATTCTTCTTAATTTCGTCCCTACGTTCAACCTCGTGACCTATTTGTTACAACTCTCGAGTGACCGTCTTTCTGTCCGATCCGGCCAGTCAAACGCAACTGATAATTTCCTGATCTCACCATCCTCGCTTGGATTCTCGAAACGATCTTGCTTCATCTGCTCACCGGTGAGTGTGCAGTGAGGTTATTAGAATGAAGGGTCTACGTCTTGTCAGCAGATCTTACACCTCGCGAGCACCCCCAAAAATGCTCCCTGCTATCTGGATAGTGTCATAAGTCCACCATGATAGCAGCCCGAAGGCAGGCAGCCAGACAAGCATCAAACAAATGATGAGACAAAGAGTAGAATCAAGGCTCGTCGAGTATTTCCCACTTCAGAGCTTCACTTGCCAATTATGGTGATTTCCGCAGAGCTTCTCTTCTGTGCCGGAGAGATGCAGTCATTAACCTCATCGCTCCAGTGTCACTTTTCTACAGCAGCAAGCGAATCTCGAGTTAGTAGTGGCAATAATTCGTTGAGATTGACTCTCGTTCACCTCAGCTTCTCTTCTGCCGTCATCGCATCCAGCCAATGACCGATCAGATCTACCCTGACATAAAAACACTATAACCAACTGTACTCTGGCCCTAAAAAAGAGTTCATATACTGTATTACTTTCATGAACAGCAAGCTTTGGATGACCACATTATTTTCAGCAATGGGCTGTCACTTCGATCGGACGACACAAGGAAACAATTGAAATTCCACCGACCCAAAGAGTCGAGGTATGTGTGGCTTATTTTATCAGTGATATAGTAATAATAAGAAAAGGGTAAGCGCAGTGGGGGCAACCTGAAAGAGTAAGTGTCAATTCTTGTATGTAATCTTCTAAAAGAAAGTCAGATAGAATCAACTAAAGAGCCAATATAGTTCTTACATACATACATAGTGAATGTATAGGAATACATTCACTTGTATGAAAGAAGGGTGCCTTACGGGCAAAGAGGAGCGATAGCATGAAAATAAAGTAGAAGGTAGTTACATCTTCTGTCTAAAATTGAATAAATCCTATCTAAGAATCTTTGAACACAATGTCTTAGTTCGTTCAGTCCTACTTCTGCATCTCCCTACCTACCTAGTATCTAAGGTTCTCTCCATCCATGAGTATGTTGACATGTGAGATGCTAAATCAGCCCATTAAACTAGTACTCTATACCCTTTCTTCAGAAACTTGGATTAGATGTAATTTCTAGGATGACAGGTTGCCATTCCTCGACTTAAAAGTCGGTGTTTTTAGTTCATCTTGGATGTGAGAATGTGAACATGTGTTTCAACAAATTTATTGAACGGTTTGGCTGTATCAACGGCGTCATAGCTGCCAACCTACGTAGTGGTGGTAGAAAACGTAGTAGTCTCCTAATTGATTTATCCTCAAGAGAACGGGAATTCGAGAAGAATTCATAGTAAGGAGGTAAGAATATTCTATTTGTACGCCATAGTACAAATAGCTCATTGTGCAGTCAAATATCTAGCTGATGAAATGTGCAGCCTATGGCCCATTCACTAATCGCTCATCGACCAACATGTTCATCTTATTATGAGTCTAGATAAACCCAGGGCGAGAAGGAAAGAAGACGAGGAATTTACCTTTAGTTTCAAGTGCAAAGTCAACTGATGTATGCTGTGGGATAGGTTCTGTTAATAACTAGCAGCCTCACTTCGAGTCTTATTTTCAACGATGCTTCCGTCATGTTACTAGCTTGAGAGCATTACCCCTGGAAGAGTAAGTATAATAATATAGTTTAAACAATGTATTTGAACTATTCTACACAAGAAACTTATACCCATATCTCATAACACTTGACCTGCACAAACATTACAGCACAACATGAGGGTAAATGCTATGAGTGGTTATGAGAGAGTTAATACCAGAAGCTCCATTCAAAGTAACCTTTGAATGTGTCAGCGTGAAAGCTAGAAGAAGATGATTCAGTAGCCTAGAGATATTTTTGTAGACGTATATATTCTCAGGGTAAATGAAAGATAAGCATTATTAAATGCTCCCAGGTTGATCTATGAACCTAGTACAGTATCCCCAAACCTTGCAACATGTCAAAAGAAAAGGACAAGGAGAGCATCAAACTTCACACATTAATGAATAAATAAAAAATCTTATTGATATGAAAATCATTATCAATATTCAATATTTGCATCTGCAAATATTTTGGATGATTTTTTATTTAAATATTTTATCCTTACATTATATCATACTTGTCAAAGAATAATATTATCGTCAAATTAATCTTGTAATATTTTAAAAACATTCATATGTTTGATTAACGAGAAGAATCAAATTTTTTTGGGTCAAAAACTGCATTTTGTTCTAAGGGAATTTACGAATCCATAACGAATGCTTATACTTTAGATGAAACACATAATGAAATTAACGAATAGAAGTATACAACCTCTTCTGCAAGGTAATTTTTATATGCAAATCTTGCAGAAAACACATTGTTTAAACAACAAACTATACTATAAACATCAATAATATTTGATGAAGGTCAAGCTCTAATGTTGTAAAACACAAATTAAAAATCAACATGTCAAAAGAATATAATCAAATGCAAATATTTGTTCTTGTTGATTAAAAACTGAATGTTTGATGGACTTTTTTTATCCATGTTTTACTTAGTTTATTTTCACATTCATTAAATTTCTGGGTGTACGGATTGCATTGTTGCTTGGTGTTTAAATTGCTCATCATGATTAAAATAAATATTTGTACGTCATTGTTGTTACAATAATATTTTGACTGATTGTCATAGATTGCAGATAATTTTGATATTTCAACAGTGTTAACCTAATCAACCACCTCTTTACATTTCAAAAAAATTTGCAATTTTAGCTAGATAAAGGAATCTCAAAGTTGTAGCTATTTGTAAAATCAGATTTTCTTTTGATTTTTTTTTATCATTGATCTTCATAATTTTACATATAATTAAAGATATCAAATCAAATAGTTAATTGGCTTTACTTCCTATGTTTTTACTTAACACACTTGTAGAATTTTACAGTTGTAATCTAGTACTTGGCTTTAGTTGTAATGTTTTTCTTTTAAAAATAATTTTACTTGGAAAATTTTTAAATTTTTTATTTTGGAAATCTTCTGATATAAAATAATTTTGAATATAAAATTTTAATTTTATTTTCAAAATATTGAAAAAAATTTAAATTTTTTAATTTTAAAACTATGTCAAAATACAAAAATAGCTCAATTTATCTAAAATTTATTAAAAAGGAAATTTATAATAAAAAAATTTAAATTTCGTATACCAAGATTTAATATAATTCTTTGAAAATTTCATTGGAAATATTTAAGAAATTTTTTTTATTTATTTCCGTGTCAAATTAACTACAACATTGTTTGATTATGAGTGTAATTGATCAATTATTTTGACACACAAAACTGTTATAGTTATGATTCTCAACTCAAAAGGATGTTAAAAAATTATAGGAAAAAATTGTAACAGTCTCTAGATTTTTCTTTCACATCAAAATAAGTGGGATATATTCGACTTGAACAAAATATATTTTAAATCAAAATTTTAAGGTAAATTATTATAACTTATTATTTCGATAATGTATGAAAATATTGAAATATATATATATATATATATATTAATTACTTCACGTCTTTTTTTTCATTGATTCATTTTTAAAAATTTATTGCAAAAATATTATTGCAAAAAAACTGACCATTGTAAATTCATGGACTTCTTTTAAATTCAACAAAAAGTCTAATTATCTATGTTGATTTTGAAATAACAAGTCTCAAATAATAAAATACATTAATAACCACCTATAAAATCAAAAAGACTTTAGTTTTCTAAAAATATTTTGAACGATTTTGTAAATATTTTCCAATTTATAATATTGAGACCTTTAATCAAGGTAATTCGTGGATGTCATATTTTGTTATCTATATTGATCTCTTCTGCTGCATTCGTTATAAAAAAAAGGTTTCTTACAACCTTTGAATTCGTAACATTTTTGTTTGAGAATTTAAATGGAAAGTATTAAACACTTCTCCTCAAAACCTGGTTACGTCCTTGGTGTTGATGGCGGTCAAAAAGTGTGCAAAGTTACCTTGGTGATCTAAAGTAGAACCCTGAGTACATTGGATTGAAGATTTTATCTTTCTAAAGGTACTCAACTTCATGTGGTTAATTTATGGAATTCTAGCAATATTTTTCCCTATTATATCATCGATCTTGTTTACTTCAATCTGCTGAATGTCAAGAGCAATCATACGGTAAGCAATTTTCATCTTGCTGTTCTGAGATATTGAGATTTCATCAGACACAACATGATGACGTGATCCTAGACACTATGCATCTCATCGAAGTTATTCTGGACTTGATCTACAGACGATGGTTCTTACGAAAGCATTTTTGAAGGAAACATTGCATGTAGATATTAAATACTGTTCATGACATAGTGACCAAGAGGACATTCCCTCCCACACTTTACGTCGAACAAGGATGACGTCCCACTACAAAATAAACATCAGACTGTCCTGAACAGAACAGACGAATTTTATCCAGTAATCGCTTACATGTATTCTAAGTTTAATTTGTAAACATGAAACTACACCCACTCAAAATAGAATATATACCATACTGGAAAGAAACCTCGACTAGGAAAACAAAGGAGTAGAGTCTCTGGATGATCCACACTCAACCTCATAAAACATGATCCGCACTCAAACTCAAAAATAATCAATATTTTCTAGGTGTACAGTTGTCAAGACTCTCATCAAAGATACCGCAGGACAGATACACAATGTACACGATTTCGATGTTTCGATTACAACAACAACAACAACAAGTGTCAGACGATTTCAAACCAGCCTCAGTCTCAGAAAGAACGTTTGATACGATAAACCAATGGAACATATACTTCTTACAATCAAAAGAAATTCAATCATAAAGTTATAGTAAAATCGAAGTTGTTTTCACTTTCCTTCAAAAGATCTTTAACACAAGATATGCACCGATATGTTTATTACTTGCAAATTATGAACATTCTTATCAAACGCAAGGTGCCTTTCAACGAACTGTTTACTGCTCGAAACTACTCAGACCTGTTTCGAGCAGCCTTCGATCAGAGCATCTCCTCATGAGAATTAGAATAAAGTGCATGATTTCAACAAACATTTTGAAAGCTTCTTCGTGCAGCATGAAAACATTTCTTAACGCTTTCACAATGTAGGTCAATAGAATGCACAGAATGATGACCATAAAGTCATCACTGCTTGATGTTCAGTGTTCAGATGATAATTGATACATGCCTCAAGAATGATCAGCTAGCCTGCTGACCTCATTATTCTTCTATAAGGTTGCTGAGATCTACATGTTTATTCTCAACAAAGATATTCTGCCAGTACTCATGAAATACTGCTTAAAATCCAGTAAGCAGTGGCTTATTGCACGTACCACATGCTTAAGGTTCGCATCTTCGAGTAATTCGAGCTACTGCAAGTACGATGTTGGAGCTAGGATCTATTCTACTCCACTACCGTTCATAATACTGCAGATACAGTTCTCGGTATATAACAAAGACGCAAGGAGCGACTAACCTTCAATTCCCATCTAGTAAAGCATCCACTAATACTCATCCACTATATTCCTCTGCCGAAAGCTGTTCGATCCGCGAGCACAGCATGTTTCCCGGGTTCTTCAAATCGTCAGTAAGCTAAGGCCACCAAAAGACCACTGGACATCACGAGCATGCTCCAGCCAGAGGTGCCGACTGTCACTGCAGAGCTCTGTAACCCATAAATAAAGAAGTAAGCTCAGCACTCTAATCAATCCGGATGAGCTATCGAAGTCAGCAGATCTGAATTGAATTGCAAAACAAGCGCACCCTGTCTGATCCGGGTACAAACTGGCAACATCGTCAAACGAAATCACTTTGAGCTGAAATGAGCTGAAAGATGGACTTACAGTTTCGGTTGATGGTCCTGGAGCAGGTGCTGATTCGGATGTAGTGGGAACTTCGGAAACTGGGGCAACTGCTGGAACGGCCGAAGGAGTCATTGAAGGAGCGACGGTTGGTGCCACGGTAGGAACAACCGAAGGAACACTTGTGGGTGGGGTGGAGACCATAGGAGCAACTGTAGGTGGGGTAGAGACAACTGGTGGAAGAACAGGGGCTACAACAGGCGTTGTGACCGGAGATGAGGATGGAGCGTCCGTGCCTGATGTAGGTGCAGGTGCTGACACTGGACCTTGTGCACTGACTTGAGCGCAGATCATCATAGCGATCAGGACAATTGCTACCTTTTGGTAAGCCATTGTAGCTGAGGTGAGGTTTTCAAAGCTGAGTGAAGTTCAAGAGTCGTTCTGCAGAAGTCAAACGAGTCCATCAGAATTCTATTCAAGTAATTTGTAGAATATGGCTCAAGCCGAATGTTTCCCAGGTCACACAAGACTTAAATCATCATCAACAAAAGGGAGAAACTCAGTAGTCCTGTACGCTGCGAAGAACCACAAACCGATCGCCAATGACTTCGAATTTCAGCCCCATGTGATCAAAATCTCTATTATCAGAACGTAAATCTCAAAAACTCTCAAGCTTGCGAAGAAATCTATCTAAAGGTTCATGGAAAAATCAAACAACAGATTCATGTTACTGAAATGCTAGACTCAGTTCTGCAACTATCGTACTGACAAATTATGACAGTTAAAGTCAGAGTAGAATCAGCTGCTCTTCACATAGATCTAGATCTAGTTTTGAAGCAAGAACTCACCGAGTCAGAGAATGGTAGGCAACTCACTTCAGCGTTTGAACTTGCAAGTGCAACTTCTGCTGTATGACAGAAGGCAATGCGTGTTCAAAGCTGTAGTGAGTGAGAGAGAGAGAGAGAGAGTTGGAATGGAATTCTCTGGGAACTGAAGCCCCTTATATAGCAAGCTGTAAACAATGGCCTTCCATGAATCCTGGGAGATTCATTGGATCTCGCGCGACACAGCAGGGCGACAGAGATGCCTAATAGTACGAAGCCCTTTCTTCGCTGATAGCCAAACTGAAAGTGAGGATCTTTTTTAAGGTTCCTTCCATTTCAGGGCATACAGTTGATGACCCTCACTGGATAGCCAAATAGAAGCCAGTAATTTCTGGGAAAAAGTATTCATCAAGCTATCCGAATATCACGAAAATGTCATAACAGCTTACATTCTTCGCTGGAGATGCGCCCAATTAACGAACGTATTCGAAATGCTCAGAAGCTAAGGAGCCGCAATCAAATGAGGTGAATCGTGTCGAGCCGAGTTTGTGTGCTCGTAACATACTAATCGTGTTGACTGCCCATGAAACAATCTCGAAAATGGTCGGGCCCTGAGGAGATTCAACCTGTTGCAGTTGTAACGGCAACAGTGAAGCAACCTGAATGGTCGATGCCATGTTTGTATCTGTAGAGTGGTCCCATCATCAGGTCATGGGTTGTGAATGACACGATCTGGAACCAGTGTCATTGTCTCTCCAGGAGTCGTTGTTTCTTGCTCTTCATTCTTGCACTTCATGTTCCAGGTATCACTTGGATCTAGATTCAATGACGAGTACTTAAGAGCCAGCCAGCGATCTAGATCTTCATTCCCCATACTCAGCACGACGCACCCAGCCATCTGGCAGTATCAGAGACCTCCAAGCAACGAACAACCACACGAGGTCGACTTGGGAAATCCACTTCTGAATTCAGGTACTTGCAGTACGACAAAGTTTCATGATGTTTTGACAAGACAGGTTTTACAATTTACACCATTCTTCACTCAAAGTTTCTTATTGGTTATCTGAAAAGATTCTTCTTTTCAGGTATGTGACAACTACGACAGCTTATGTATTTTTTTCTCGGTCATTGTGTTGTCCTTCAGTGAAATTTTCCTCAGTCACACTCACATAAAATCTGCGTTTTGTCGCAGATACAAGACCCGAATTCATCCGCTCTTCTAGATCTCATTGTAGAAGTAAGCTAGCTTCACAGTCGAATTCGGCTGATTTCACAGCACCTTAAGTAAAGGCCTACTCCACTTATATACCACCGTAAGTTAAATCTCAGATATCTTCAAATAATTTGCGAGTACAATCCATTCAATTCTGATTACGGGCTTCGCCTTATTTGACCCAATCTAAGATTCAGATTTCAATGTTTGGGGTGAATTCCTAGAGCGAAAGCCCTAGCAGGCCCTCTGGTGCAATATGTTGCTTGAGTATCTATGGTCATTATGCTCAAGCTCCATCTAACTAATCTTTACTGGCTGTGAATTCTGTCTCAAATTCAGGCAACATGGCTTCACAAATTCTCTTTGTTACTATTGCCCTTCTCGGATCCTTATGTGTACACCAAGTAACGGCTCAAGCTCCACTAACAGCCCCAAGCCCGAGCGCAGGAGGCCCATCCCCTGGCTCTTCTCCTTCTAGTACACCCTTTCCCACTCCCACCGCTGCCCCTGTGGTTGCTCCCTCACTTGCCCCTGTTCAGACTCCAACTGAAGTTCCCACGATGGCTCCTTCATTCACCCCCTCCATCGATCCTTCCACCGTCCCTGTGACTGCTCCCGTACCTGCTCCTCTTGCTCCTTCCACCGTCCCTATGGCTGCTCCCGTACCTGCACCTCTTGCTGAAGTTCCCACTGCAAGCCCTTCTGAGTCGGCACCAGCACCAGGACCTTCTACGGAAACTGTGAGTATCTCGAGCCACTCGATTCGAGCAAGTTTTGCAATTGTCTTACTTTACGTCACCTGATCTCGAAATCAATGTAACGAAGATAAAGGAAACCTCTGTTTGTGCATTCGTGATCGTAGTCTTCAGGCCTCACATTCTTCAGTCATGAAATTGCTCTAATTGTGAGTACCATGCGCTTGACATGGTGATGCTGGCTGGTTCAACAGAGCGCCGGATTTATGACTAGCGGACGCGCATGGACAGGACTGGCTCTCGCTTCAGCCGTTGTGGCGGCCTTGGCTTGATCAGAATCTACAGCTTTGACAGTTCAAGCAGCCTTGACCTGGATTCAAGACAGTGCAGCTAGCATAGATTGCTATAAAGCTGGCTTGAACTCCAATAAAGTCTATTAAATTCCTGCTAGCAGAATGTCTTTTGAGGTGGATGGCCTCTATTCAGAAGGGGTCAATCATAATTGAGTCGCATTAATCGACCGTTAGAAAAAATATTTAGGAACATTTTTTCCAGTAAACATTTTGAATAAATGTTAGCTTGAAGTAGGTGGCGTACGATCAGAAGAGATAAATTTGTTGTAGATTCACTACATTGCAACTGAATAAACTCTCTGTTTGAAATATGAATGCCCATGATGGAGATGAGATTCGTCAGGAGGCAGCAACTCTTGCGAACGCTTTTGAGTTCTAAGATCGCCTGTAAGGAAAAACGAACGTATGCAAGCATCAAGCAACAGTTACTCATGAAAGCTTGACATTTAAAGTTTGCATCTTTGATCCTCTAAAAATCTTGATCACAGTTTCGATGACATCGTTTCTTCATAAATGCAGTGCAGTTGTAGACATCAAATCAAAAACTTGTGGACGGCCCCAGCCTCTCCCATACATACAATTTGTGTACCTTCATAGAGCACAAAATTGTTCCGATAAGTGGCATGAGATTCGGATCAAGACTGACCTATCGATTTTCCAAAAAACCCTGTCAGGTTTTTTCTTTTTTTGAGAACATCCGTTGTTTTCCTTTTATTGTCTGACAGTCCCCCTGGGCCTGTCGGACACAATATGCACAATGTGCAGAATATGTCTGAAGTTGCGTTTAGAATTAGACATATATCAACGTCACTTCTGTCTACAATGTTTGGACTTTTGACGGAGATGGGCATGCAGCTAACGCATTGTGTCAACATTCTTTTTTGTAAAAACTCCAGCAACCTCTTACAACATGCTCACATATATAGCTACATGCATGGTCTAAGACCAACACAGCCTTGTCGAATCTGCCCAATGTGCAAGTCTATGGAGTTACTGCATATATGTTACGGAAGGTCAAAACAAAACTCAAGACACGAACAATATTATAAATCTGTGTATCAGTGGTTACAGAAAAGGCAGGGAAGTAACTGGTAAACTAGGCACGCAATCCATGTTAAATTATTGCTGCCTCAAGTCCTATGTTCAACGGTTGTCATGGTGCGTTCGTTTCAATTCAGAATCCGGAAAGGATACGATGTTGAGTGTGATGTTCCCATGAGTTCGTGACTACCTGAATCAGATTTTAAACTGTACTTCTGCACGTACTAAATTCAAACTCAAACTTCGAGGGTTGTTTGGTTCATTAGCATAACCTTATAATGCTCTGCTTTGGACGTGATTCAGCAGCGAGAACGTTACAAAGAATTCCGGGTTATGTGGGCAACTCAGTGAATGAGAGGTGAGTGGGTGTCTCGATACACGTATCCAGTACGTGCATGGCCTTCATAACCGTCTGCAGTCTTGTGAAAAACGCGGAAGAGACCAGTCTATCTTCCGCGTTTTCACAAGACTGCAGACAGTCATGAACTTCTGTTTCTGATTTGGAGTGGACAAGAATATGCACCAAACGTTAAGCCATTGCCGTTGGTAAATATTGCCAATTGGCAAAATTTACCAACGTAATCTGGTATGACGCAGTATTATCAACTGCAATGTCTCAAAATGAGTGCTTAATAAAAATATATTACCAGCCAGTTACACAGCAAGTATAAGTGTATATGATCCATAAGCTTACAGAATGGTCGCGGAAATATCAAAATGATAATCTTCGACATCGGTAACAAATCGTTGAATTCTACAAGATCCGATAGCGGTTCACAACAATCACAAGGTGAAAACCAAGCACATGCAGCAATTACGTATCTGCATGTGCGACGTGAGATGAAGAGCGGCCACGATCAGAGCAAGATATGCACAGCACAGCTCACAGTCTCAAGATACTGGGATCGGTTGAAACCGGCGATGCTCATAGTCGTCCTTTCAATCATTTCGTCAAGTAATCTCGATGCACGCTTGGTAGGTACTCAGTTTGATGACTGGTCACGATCTAACTTTTTGTCAGTTTGAAACAAGTACATGTTTCCGAAACTGCATCCTGCATCTGGCTCTGTGACATCCGTGTTTCTCTTGACACATTACCAGTACTTAACCTGCGGTACTGGGTATAGAACTTCACCACTTGATCTCAGTACTCCCAGAGTCGATCAGCCTAAGCACTTTCCTTCCGCAGCATCGGCATATCTACTCATCAGGTATTCTAGGAACAAGGGAACTACAAGAATTGTGTATCGTTGGAATTTCTTTGCTGGATAAGAAATCACGGTAATCTTCAATACAGCAAGAATTTTGTTCTTCATAGGTCGTTACAAGCATTTCGATATCTTAGGAAAGGTTTCAGAACAGGACAACAGTTGTGCATTCAGTTTACACTCATACAATCTATCTGATAACAGGTACAATGACTCCCACGGGTTTTATCATATCATTGGTTCTTCTTGGAGTTCTTTCCTTCAGCCGAGTGAATGCGCAAGGCCCAACGATAGCACCGATACCGAGTCCAGTCCCAATCGCTGATCCTAGCGTGGCTCCCATTTCAGCGCCGTCAGTGTCACCACCTGTCCCAGGAGTGGCACCATCACCCCCTGCATCTGGTCCAGCTCCGTCCAGTGGAACTCCAGGTCCAACTCCTGCTTCTCCGATGGCACCAGCACCTGGGCCCAACGGACAAGTGAGTACAACTGGTCCTAGTTTACATTTCTCAATAGAATGTGTAATCGGTTTGCTACAACCAAGTTTGGACATTTCTCATTTGACATTCTAATGGCAGGCACGTATCTTTCTAACTCGTTGATAAAATGATTCCTGACAGAGTGCTGGAGTGGTGTTAAGCCCAGCTGTATGGACAAGCTTTGTGGTGGCCACGCTTGTAGTGGCAACGATGGCTTGATAAGCAACAAGCACGGCATTGATGAATACAGACGTGCCATATTCATCAGTAAGACCGGATGAGTGATACTGTGGTTCATAGCTGCAGCGTTTGTACTTCTAGTGAGTCCAGAGTGTCGGGAGACCTCTGATATAAGTGTTTTAGTTCAGAAGGTCTCAAGAATTCGAAGGAGAGATGATCCTCCTCATTTCTCAATAACTGGAAGCAAAACTAGGATGGGAGTGGAAGATTCAATTCAGCAATAATATAGAATTCATGTATCTGCGCAAAGGCAGTAGCAAAGTTTATGCACGTGATCCGATGCAGAAAGAAGAATGGGGATAATCTGCCATCTTCAGCCATGTTCCAGCTGTACCTTGATGACTATTAACAACTCCTTAGATATGTCTTGAGAATAAAGTTCTCTTCAAACTTTCAAATATGCCTATTCATTGCACGAAAATATTTGTCAGACATACGGCCAAGCTCCACTAAGATTGAGATGTTGTATAGTTCATGTATAGTGACACAACCAAATGCAATCTCTACGACCCCGATGGAATATGAACTAATTGGAAGTCGAAGATATATATATATATATATATATATATATATATTCAAGTTTTTAATGCAATCAAAAATACATTCAATAACATAATTTTTTGACAATCAATAAACTATGATAACATAAAAATATGTAGTTTATGATAACAAATAGTATATAATATTCGATATTCTATACAAATTTTATTTTTTTATAGCACAAAAGGAAAAAATATTTTTAGTTATAAAACTGTGTACAAAAAACCTTCGACTTGTATATGTATATATATATAATCATTTATTTTGATTGTCTCATAAATTTATAACAAAAATATTCTTATTATTAATGAAAAAAATTGCAAAGCATGTCTTCTTGATGTTATGAAATAATAGAATCAAAATTTTTTGAATATCCTTATTTAAGAATGAAATCATTGTTCCATTTATTTGTAAGAGGACTAAATATTCTTTTTAAAATCATATTTCAAAAATTATATTGCCAAAAAATATTTTTATAGTATTAAATTGTAATATTTTTTCAATTACTTTGAAGAAGTTTAAAGGTCAATTGTTAAGTTGACACATCTTGATATTTATTTCATACTATTAATGTTAATCTTTGTTAGAAATATTTGACTTTATTGTAACTTTGTACTGCTAATACTTGCTTTGGTGCATTTTTTCAGCTTTACATCGACTGAATACATAAATCAAAATACTAGTCTGTTACTATTCACCAACCAAATTTTATGATAACTGTAAGTTTGGACTATAGAGTGTAATGTATTTTAAGTTTTGGGAAAATCTACTCTTACCGTTGATGTAGCTCATTATTTAATTACATGCACTAAGTGTTTGCGTTGCATATTCGTTAGCTTATATATCTCATTTCTAAAAATGATCATCATAATTGATAATAACGTGTATGGCTTGTATTTTATGTTCCAATTTTTTGCTAGAAGTTGGGGAGCATATCCGCAACTTCGAACAAAATTGTAGAACATAAAATATTGATGTGATCCTTATCGGTATCAATTATGATGGTAATTGAATGTATTAAGATCTTCTTTAGGGTTCCAACTTTCTACATTTCAATATACTAGGATGATTATCATGATCATTATGCTTGTTGATTGTTACTGCTCAGATGATGTTGTGATCTTATAGCAATACTTTAAGAAGAAAGCGGAAAAGATTATCAATGAATAATATGCATGTTGCGACATGTACATCATATTGATAGTTATGTAAAAAGATATTTTTTCTTGAAGCATTAACTTCAAAAGGGCTCATTTAGTATGATGATGGTTTGGTGTGGTTTGGTATGTTTGGAATGGTGATTCAATAAACCTATACTTAAGTGAGCTGAAAATTTATTCATTCAAGTTTATTTATCACAAAGTCAAGGTTAGAAATATCCCAACTTATTCAATATGCTATTGATCTTTTACCAATATCAGATACAAGATCCGATTTGAAATGTGGTAAACCGTTTAGGTGATTACTGATTTTCACAAAATTGACTGTAATGACTATGCTTTTGCTTTAAAAAAAGTTTAACCTTTAATTCTAAAACTCAAAATTCAGGAGAAAATATTTTCAATAGATTCTGGTCGTCATTCACTTTTTAGTAGAAATATTTTATTCACTAAATAAATATCATCAAATATTGTGGAGAAGCTAAGATTTTTGATACTAACAAGGTTAAATTTCTTGCCTAAAACATAGTTGAAGATGATATTGTACTTCACATTTTTCACAATGGCTTATTTTAACGATTTTTTGACTCTAGCAAAACACAAATTTGAAAGGTTTGTGGTGATTTGCATAAACAATCAGCATATAAAAATTATTTCGACTCTTCAAATAGAAAGGAGAATTGAACGTCAAATTCTTAAAATATATGACATTAATTTCAAGAGATTGAAGTAGATCTTGACAAATGAAAACACGAACTGATAACAAAACATGAAAGCCTATCCACTTATTCTAAAGCGTAAATATCAAGCTAGAAGAAACTTATCAATATTGTTTTCATGTAAACAAGTGATATATTGTACATAGTGTAAGTTTCACAGTTAAGAGTAATTTGGTTTATAGTGAAATATTGTATATCATCAAAATACTCTACAATGTATTTTTGTATATGCTCTTGAAGTTCTATCAAGCTACTTCTCTATCATATAGTTGAAATCAAAGCGTTTTTTTAATGATTTCCTTATGAACAGATCTTCATGTGAATACGGAAATATTTTGTGAAGAAGGAAGGGTGCAATTGTGATGCGTTTATAATTCCTTAAATCCTTATATGATTTAAAGAAAGATATTGGGACTAAAAAAATTCTCAATACTTCATGTGCTCAAAATGAATTTTTAAGATATGCATAAATTCACGTATGTGGTTAAAACAAAATATTGAATGAAGTATAGGATTATTTATTCATTTGTTGTACTTGATACATGCTCATGTAGGCTGTAAATGAATCTAATCAGTCTTAAATATAATATGAGGATGAAGTACACATAAATCTTCTTAGTCCTAAGATGAACAACCGTTACATTTAACTTTAAGCATCATATTTTTTAATGTAGACACCATTTCATAAGGCATGATTGCAGAGAAAGCAAACTTGTGGTTGATAAATTTGAAAAACCAAAATATATGTCAAATTCAAGATGGTGTTAAGGTTGTGAATTTACTTGAAGCTTTAGTTTTTCTCCATCCAAAAGATAGCAATCAAAAAGAATCTCATATCTACTGATAGCTTGATGGGTAGTCTCATGTACTTAATAATATGAAATCAGATGCAATTTGGCATTGATGTATGAAGCATCACCATGCACATGGCATGTGCATGGTAGTTGCAAAGGTATGTGGTGAGATGGATACATAGGTAGTTAAATGATTTCATTGGATATACAATTTTTAGTTGATAACAAATAATCCACGTCAGGAATGCAAAACATGAAATATAATCTAACAATAAAGAATCAAAACAGTACATTTGATTTCAATATTGCAAGTGGATGCACGAGTTGAAATTATAGATTTCAAATGAACATTTCTGATCGAACATTTTACGGAACCTGATTATCTTATGGCAACAACCTAAAAGAAATTGGAGCGAAGGGGCTGTTTGACTAAATGGATTTCTCAAACAACAACCTTGACCTCTATTGATTCCGTTATAGTATAATTTATATTACCAAGAAATAGACGAATTCATTGAAATACATCGCAGTCACGTAACACTTTGTTAGCATGGTCAAATGACGTGGTTAAGCTTGTCAAGATTGATAAAATGTCGATCAAAGCCAGAATGACCAGAAGCACGCACATGTATGCCAAAAATCATTCAACTTGTGAATTTATTTGAGAAAACATGTAACCATTAGTTTACATATATTACTAACTCATGCAATATACTCTAATTATATCATGTAGGATAATATATACTCAACCTCTACTAGGAGCTCTTATCTATTGGAGTAAAAAAAATTATTATATAAACAGTTGTCATATATTACTAAAAAACGTAATAGGACCTATTGCCTTCCTACCCAATGAATTGATCCATAGAAAATTTGATGGGGTCTTATGGTCTCTTTTGATATAGCATTACTCTTTTCGGTACTCTCTTCTAACTCATGAATCGAAATGTTTCTGCTGGCTTCTGGTCCGTTGCTGCACTGCTTTCATATATTGCTTCCTGTGAAGGTTTGCATAGCAACATTAACGAAAACATATATTCACTGAAGATCATTCGGCCTTCACTGGGCACTGCGATTGAAGCGAAACAGAGCTGCAGTGCACAAACCAGAGTTGGGTCACTCTGGCCGCGAAGCCCGTGCTCTCACAAAATGCTCGTCAGGAGAAGTACTGGCATGCCTCTTAGCGCATACCCGTGCTCGAAGTACTCTCACCTGACATGTTGAAATATGTGAGTGAACTGGTCAAACCTTCAAGTGACAAGTAGACCATTCACTCCATTCAACTCCAATAGTTTTCGCGCAGGAGAAGTTTTACTTGTAAGTTATGAAAAGCATATCAAGTTTTGAGTTTGAGCCTATTTACACCCTTTCGCACAGTAAGATCTTCTATTCTGAAAAACACTCAGTCCTGTAAATGCATTTTGTTCTTCACTCATTTTTCTGATGCGCGAGTAGATATGGCAGTGCAGCAGTGTGAAGTGACCCATCCAGCGGCTTTAGCGACCAGGGATTTTCTTCCCGCAGACCCACAACGAGAAAAGTGGAGCGGAATAGGGAAGTCTATTTCGTCACACGCTTTGAAGATGAGAAGCTAAACATATGCGAACACTCAGATTAGTTCACCTGAACAAACTCTTCGCTTACGCAAAGTTGTGTGTTTAAAAGAATATCTAATGCTCTTTACGGTCAAGTCTTATGTACCTATTGTAGAAGAAGTTGAGGCAGTTCCAATAGTGGATTCAGAAGAAGGTTCTTGATCACTGAGACTGAGAACCTTAAATGAGCTGATGGTATCGAGTAATTGTGCCCTTGCCCGTTGACGGAAAGTGTCTAAGTATACACGATACGGGGTTGATTTGTAGACAGGTGGGTTCGATTCACTCAGAAGCCCGTCGAGAGGACCTATTATAGCATCCATGTTGGGCGAATAGAAGTTTATAATTGAAAGTCGGCGCTTAGATGACTTCTCCACTACCCTGTGGTTCCCACTAATGAACCTGCCGTTGCTCATGATCTGCAAAATCAACAATCTTCTTAGTATCTTCAGATCATATTTCAGCCTGGATCAACATTAGAACTTTGATTACACGACCGAGGAAATTAAAGCCGGGTAAAGAGCAATTTGCATGACCAACGATTACGAGTGAAAATTCACATCTGTCTTTCTGGTAAGATGGCATTGTTCGTATCACACGCCAAAAGCATACTCAAACCTGGAGTTGGTCACCCAAGTTGACGATCAGTGAATTTGGTGTTGGTTCAATATCCAGCCAACGATCACCCTTCTGGACTTGCAGTCCAACCACCTCGTCCGAGTAGACCACAGTCACCGCACCTGGATCCGTATGTCCGAGGAGTGCTATTTGATCTTCTCCTTCTCCTTCTTTCTTGGCATTGTAAAAACTGATGTTCATATTGCTTTGAGTCACGTCCGGTCCTTTCAACCCGTTGAACAGAGCATGGCTTTCGACACCCAGAGATTCTGACAACAGGCCCAAAATCCTCTCGACGAGCCCTCGACTTTCCACAACGTACTCGTACATGGCCGGCCTATATGCCAGATTGAATATGACACAAATTTGCAGTATTAATTCATTTCTAATAATAGTAATGTCGTTTTGAGCTATGATCTGATCGGAATCAGAATGATGTTGATGTAATCTTGCATTCCCTGCTTTCTAGAAGAACACTGACACTCATCTTCTACAACCAGCAGGCTGATAGAATTGTAATATCTCAGTAATAAAAACTATGGCTTGCGTTGAAACTATGATCAGGCAAGATGAATTCAAGGCAACAGATGATTTCAGAAATTACCCAAAGCCTTCCGGGATAGTTGGCCACCGATCCTTGTGCTCCTGCAATGGCGGATAGAAGACGTAGTAGAGGTGTTCGTACGTTGGGGAAAATTTTGATACATCTTTATCCATCAGGTCAGGATTGAAATAGCCGTGAAAGTGAACATTCTTCTTCATAGCAAATTTAAGCTTCTCCTCATCTGGTGAAGCGAAAAACTCCTTGGAAGCGTCCTTGGCCCTTTTCATCACAGCCAAGTCTACACCATGATTGACCACTTGGAAAAACCCCCATTCTTCACAGGCAGCAGAAACTTCTCTCATTATCCTTTCTCGACTCGGGCCTTCTATACCCGTAAGGTCGATCACTGGAGCTCCCCCTATATCTCCGGAGGTCTGAGTTTCTTGGACTGGACCATTGTTCATGTCTGCTTGTACCTCCGTGCCCATCCAGCTCGAAGTACCCAGTGTCTCTGCTGCAATTCCACGAGGGCTCAACAATTCAACATGAAATGGACTAACGGCATGCGTCCTAACGACTGGGAACACGACCTTCGGCCGATCCTAGCGTGCAATCTGATTGCGAACCGCAGGTCTGATCAACGTGAAATCTGTGAGGGCATTTTGCCCACGCGTTGGCTTCTATCCCACAAAATCACCTTTGTTCTAAAGTTTTGAGTTCTCTTCTGTGGTCTATTCTTGGTCGACTGACAGGTAAGGACAGACCAGCTCAGCAGTTCTACTACTGTTGATGTCAGAAGTTCAGATATGGATCCTCAGGTATTGGTCGGAATTGGCTGGAGGTCCAATCAAAGAAAGATACGGTAAACAATCTATGGAATGAAATTATTTACAGTAACATTTTGTTCTTGACACGATCCAGTCTAGTCAAACTTTACCTCGCTTCATCATTTTAACAAATGAATGACAGTAGACTTCACTCTCTAGTTGCAACAGATAGAGAGGGAATTGTTTAATCCACTTCGCTGCAACTAGCTAGGATTTGCTGATATCCCAACACTATCGATAAGTGCAAGATTACTATAAATACTGAGCTACCAAGCAATTACATAACATGCACGTCATGGTATATTTGAGAGATCATGAAAGTAATACAGGGTAGATTTGAATAATTGATGGAGTTTTAAGAACGATGATTGACGGTAAATATCGATATCAATTTAATTTTATATCGATATTTACCGCAAGCATATGAATAGTATTTTTATTTTTATTTTTATTTTTATTTATTTTAACCAAATAAAATTACCAAAAACTTATACTATACTTCTCTTGGTGTTGTCATCAGGGGATGTAGCTCAGATGGTAGAGCGCTCGCTTAGCATGCGAGAGGCACGGGGATCGATACCCCGCATCTCCACTGTCATCTTCTGCGTTTTCTTTTGTTCAGACCGGAGGTAAAGCTCTCAAAAGAATTTCGGGAAGAGGAAGCGGCAAGTGAATGAAATAAATAAAAGTTCTGTAGTATAATCACTTTGTATGTCCGGCTGTCGAATAACTTATGCAGGGATTCAGCTCAGATGGAAGAACGGTCGGTTGGCTTGCAAGAGTCACGGTATCCGATACCCAATGGTCATTTGGGTATCGGATACCTTGTCATTAGCAATGACCAATGACATCCATAAGAACAACCAGCAGCAAGGAGACACGAAATATATAGATTTCCATGATTCAATATATTTATATAAAAGATTAGAATATTCTTTTTAGTTCAGGTACTCAAAGTACCCGAATTCCATAATTATATTTTACGGCACTGTCAAGATGGGGCAGCTCATATATATGGCGAGTAACTAGGTATGTAGCGTAACTAGTAATCCGTAACCATGTTTCGGATAACAAATAAAGGAGTTTACTTTACAAACTCTCCGCTAACTTTAGTCCAAGAAGCATTTAATTTTTGCAATCTACGTCTATGACTACAAGATATACCCAAAGATACTTAACTTGAACTAAGTCGCAACCTACATAAATTTGAATAGAGACTATTGTAAAAAATCAATCAATTGAAAGATGCACAATTTGCAATTTTCTGAGTGACTAGAAAAATTGTATGGGAAATTGACAGGTAATCATTGTTAGTGCAAGGCTGTAGGCCATCCAACCTTTGTAGTTTCGGATATTTTGAATCCATACAATCCTTAATTTACTTCTCCCACCAATCCGACATTCTTCCTTCTTCAAAAGCCCAACTTCTGGGTATGATGGGAGTTTAGGGTACATCTTAAATATAGTCCTGTTTGCTTTTCATCCATATCCATATTCAGTACTATACTCATTTTATCATTATTTTAATGACTATTTAAAATGATAATTTACGTTATCGATTTGCATTTGATCGATTGATATGAAGAAAATTTTACTGAGAGTTCTTAGTCTGTCGGCGACCAGAAAATAGACTTCATTCTTGAGTTAATATATTAGGTCATAACGAATAAATGACCAACTACCAAGATCTCCACTACACCATGCTAAATGACCTCGTGCTGCAAATAGCTACAAGCAGTCGCTAGAAAGCACATTGCAGAGTTGTCATAAATGAAACTTTGTCTACAATACTCATATCTCATACCCGATGAGCCACTTCTACCAATTTAGGTGCTGATCTATGAGCCCCTTACAAACGAGTCTTTATCACCGGCAAGAGAAAATGTGTCGCTTCATGTCAATTTGTATACGTGGAGAGACGATGTATGTTCTGAGTTTGTAGTCTTAATAACTTTAGAATAGGAGCTATTGTAGGAGGCATTTGAGACATAGATCTCAATGCTCTTCCAACTCCGCCGAATGTATCCTATCATACTAGGGTTATGATATTTCCCAGTACACACGTCTTTCTCGGATAAAACCCGCGTCTCATCAAATACGGCATTTTACTTTTAGATGTCAACTTTGCCAGAATGAAACTTCACAAAATATTATAATTAAATATTAAAGATCAATCATAAAGACGTTTTAAATTTAACTTTAAATTATTATTATATACATTTCAAGAAATAATTTGGTTTGATACATGCATTAACACCTTCATTGTTCATATATGAGTTTATTTATACTTTGAGATTGAAAATTATTTAAATGTTTCATAGTCATCCATTAGAATATCAAAGTACAGTTATTCATCTAACCATCAATGATTTGATACTTGAATTGATGAGTGAGGGAATGAAAAAGTAGTTAAAACAGATCGATACTTTGTTTTGAAATATTAGTTACAATTGTAGATTTGGTGGTTGTCTATATTACACTTTTTAGATAAACTGCAAATGGAGTGATGAGAATCAAGGTTTGTCAAGAAATAAATTCCATATTATATTCTTTACTCAAACACATAGAAGTCAATTATTTCTTTCTCTAGCTTTGAGATCTCCCCTCTGAACTTTTACACGTTTTTGAGAGCATAAATTACGAAATGGAAGTGCATTACTGATGGTTTTCATTGATTAAATTGATTCAATATAAATATTGCAATTGAATAGTGTGAAATTGACAGAATTAAGGTGAAAAATGTGCCAAAATTAATTTAATTCTGGCAAACTTGGCATTTGCCAGGATCTATGAGGACTGGTGAAAGGTATGATAATTAAGTGAGCCTCAAACTAAAAAATCAGTCACTCAAGTGCTCTATCAGAAACAAATGTACCCAGGTCTTGTCATTACTCGTTTTCCGGTATATAAGACATCAACAAGGAAGGAGATAAATCTCATACATGCTTGTTCATGCAAGTCTATAGCTTAGATGGATGAGGGAGTCTAAAAAGTTTCTTTGACATCTTTGCAAAATCATTTAAATGGCGTTGAGCACTGGAGGGGTAGAAAGGCTTAGCATACACATGCTGAGAATGGACGCCGATTATTAGGAAAACTAAACTATAAAAAAGTAAAACGGATTAACAAGTAGATTTTTGCAACAATGTATTTTGAGAGGATTGCAATGTCATAGAGGCTTTAGCCGTTAAGCGAGAGACTGCCAAAAGCGAAGAAGAATCTTTGTTAGCTAGTGACGTAAGATAAACTAATATACAATAAAAAATATCACACATATTCAAATCAACAATGGCATGTAAACTCTCCACACATGCGTGATGTATTCCTATCCACTATAAGGTTATGAAGCTTATAGTTGGAGGTCACCGCACTCCAGCTAAACAACCTATATACGAGATAGATTGAGAAAAATCTGTATTTTATCTTATATATTGTAACTAGTGGTAATAATAACAAACAGTAAAAAATAACTTTGATCAACATATGAAACACAATTCATTACAACACACAAACAAAAGTAACTTGTATCAAACGAAAACTTGCAGGAACTGCTTCGAGGAAGATTTAATCGATTTATGTCGTTTGGGTCATGTGTGCCGTGATATGCCGAAGTAAAAAAACTTCGGGACAACTACAATGCTTCTGTTGTACCGTAGAAGTTACATGTAACAAAACCTTTCACACATCACCTTATCCATATTTCTGCATACTCGGGTAAATCAATAGATGCAAAGAGAATAGATATTTAAAGTGAGCGATTAGTTATCCCTCACTTAGTACTAATTAGCCCTCACTCTACTCCAATCTCTTCTCTTATTAATAGATGAGTAACAACGACCAATCAGGGACCAATCAGAGAATCGTTTATACTAGGGTGTGGGCTAATTAGCCCTAAGTGAGAGATAACTAGCATTCTCCTATTTTAAACTTCTTTTTACTCTTTTACTTCAAGCATTCTACAAATGGAAATATTGTTTACTTTTTCTTCCTGAAAAATCAAATTTTAAGGTCTTTTCAATTTTTGATAATGTATAAGCCAATCCTTCTTGATCAATTTAAGACTGGTATCATTCTTAGCATAATCCGTTATAAATATCTCTGTACATGATGATACATCCCCTAAAATTTTATGTAACCTTAGTTCTATAGAAATTACACTCTTCATTGCTTCATCTTTACACTAGTTTAAACCTACATAATTCCATCGCCATGCTAGAAACATGTTGCCAAAATTTTCAACTTCATCTTAGGTCAAGTCAAGGATTTGCCATCAAGATTTGTGTCAAGCTTTATAAGACTTTTGAGCTAGCAGGTTCTGGATTGACTATTGCACAACTTATCAAGTCGGCTTTGACTTTTTATCATGAGTTGCAAAATTCCAACATGTTATATCTTCTTACTTTACTAAACTAAAATCACAACATATCTTGTTTGAAATATTAGATTTCTTCCATCTCATTTCTAATTTCACTCCCTTAACATACTATACTTTGATTGAGACATTCATATTGACATTGAAAGACAGTATTTAATTTGTCATACATCAATTTGTTCTCATATTATATGTTTTATGATAAAAATACATAGGAGTTCAAGTGTAAATAAGATCTCTAATAAGATATTTACTCATAATATTTTCTCATTCTCCATTTACTATCAATTTTTTAGTTTTGTAAATCAAATAAGCTTTTTTAATCATTCTAGTTTGATTATTTGAAACTCAAAATGTTTTCTAACATTAGTTGGATTTTTTTGACATTTTCATTTCTACACCTATGCAAATTGATTACATTTGTCCTAATTGCGTGATATAGTTGAAAAGAGATCAACATGAATGAAACTAAAAAATATTG